TTTCGACAATTGTCATGAAATTCGAGTAAGAATTTCGAAATGAGGGCATTTATTGGCAAAAACAAACAAAAAACACCTTCAGGCGAAGTTAATCGTACCTTATGTTATTCTTCATTTTAGCGCTATTCGCTGCATGCTCAATTCATGTGATACTTTTTGATGTCTGAAATAAATTTTATTGCTGTTTGGTTCCATTTTTCAAAGCAATTCATTTCTCACTACTTCTCCAAACTGTTTTTGTGAATTTTGTTAGCATTTCAATTTCATTGCTCTATTTGATCGCCATATGCGATAACGTTGAAGAGTTGCATCAAAAGATTTGTTTAATGTTATCTGCAAATACTTTAGCAAGTCTCCAGTATCGCTGAATGCAGCTGAAATACTTTCCTATCCATACTGGTAATTGCAAACAGATGAAGGGTGAATCTGAACAGTAGTTCACGATGCTGCTATCGCAAACAATGGTTCCCAGACGGCTAGTTTTAATATTTTTGAGGACCAATCTTGAATGTTGCTTTCACTTTTTGATTGGTTTCCTTATTTTGCGTTCAATATGCCCATACTGTGGGATGAGCTCGTGGTGTGCAGTGCATCAGTCATCAACTATATGGATGTTTGTGTAAAGCAAAACGAAGTACTGGATTCGAACACAGCACCATTATCATCAGGCAGCTTATATTAACCATGAGCGGTAATAGTGGCCTCTATCCGCTTTTCGGTTTATGCTTAGACTTTATAATTAAACAGCAGCGATTATTTACTCACAAGATCACTCCTGAAAAGACTGAAAGCTTATTGAATTCAATTTTCCGTTTCTCGCTTAGTTAAGTGTTTCAGACTTTCGCTGCATCAATTTCATTTTATCGTTTTATCCACTCGATTCATTCAACCTCTTTGTCGTAGTGTGCCAAATAGTTTTTTTGAGTAGTTTGAGAAAACTATTTCGCAAGACGAGATAATTTACGGAAAAATTATTTCTTGCGTTTTGTAAAGTGTTCTCTTGCACCGCTCTACGAGCAGTTAGTCAAACTATTCAAGCTAGCAGTCTTTATGATAGTGAGCATCAAAGGAATCACTAGAACATCATCTGTTCTACTGATCACTGGTGATGATCTGATCAAAGTGATCAGTGTTATTGGCGATGGATTTATTCATATCAATAGCATTCTCATACATGACGGTTACGAAAATTAATGTTGATGCTTTCATTATTATCGATGGAGCTAATACTAGTATAATTATTACACTGTTCATTATTACTCTTCCTGCTGCTCTTGTTGTTAGTCATAGTCTTGGTACTGTATTTTTTCGAATTCAGTTCCACTAAGCATCAGATACCCATGATCAATCAACTGTTGGCTATGGAATGTCTTCAAATTTCTGTTCCTATCTGACAGTTAGATTTTATTTAGCAGTATGGACAATTAGTTTAAATGCACTAGTAGTAGATGAACTGAATCACTGTTTCATTGTGATACTGCGATTCGTCTGCATTGTGATAAGCAATGAAAAGTACTGAGTACATAAAATTTTATTCGCTCATATGAACTAGGTAATGTGTGATTGAATGTCAAAAAGTTCAAATTGGTTGGAATCGAATAGTGGAAAATATGAGCGATAGTATGTTCAGCTACTGCAAGAAGATTACTTCATCAGATCGCATAATAACTCTCATAAATCACTCTGTGGCTAGGCCATTAACATTTTTCTAGGTGCTCTCATGTCCGCTCAGAACGTGGTTTCATTCAGTCCTGACCGATGAATTGAGTTATGTAGTACATTTATTGATATTCGAGTGAATTCTTTTCTGTAGATCCGTCTAATTGCGTTGATTCGTGTCTCTTCATTTATTTATTCACGATCAGTCAAATTCGCTTATCATTTATTCATTTAGTCAAACGCATAATACTTTTAGAATGAACGATTCCAGCGCAAAAACTTGTTGATTGATTCAAATTTGATTGACAGCTCGGCCTTGTGAGCGTTGTTGTCGTCGGTTTGTTGTCATTTTTATGTTATTTTCTTCCTGGCATGAACGTTGCTACCATTTCTTATTATTATAGACGGCTTATTAAAAGTCCATCCGAATGAAATCAAATTTTGCGCGAAATTTCCAGCACTTGAAATTGTCCCTTAAAATTGCAGTTCTTTCTCTTTAAACTTATCAGTAGAACTGGCACAGCTTGGTACCACCATGCATTTTGAGGCTACTATAAGTGGGAGATTAAACGTTTACTAGTAACTCATCATATTCGCAGTAGTGATTGATCGACGATTGGGTTGATGTTTCACTAGCGCGTGATGGGCACGAATAATTAAGTTGAAGTTTTTTAGCTTAAGAAAGTGAAACGGATTGATGATCGGGTTTACGAGCAATAAAAGACCGATATTTTATGGAGCAATATTTTGGAATGACAATTATTTGAGTAATACACAAATCCACTAGCATTTCTTAGAGGATTCCTTGAAGCGTCGTACATCCATCTCTCATCACTCCGGCTTTAGGAGTTCGCATTTTTTTGTCACACAAAAAACACTTTTGAGATTTTATCGGCATACTTCGGCTGAACGTAATGAAACGCTTTTAAATAGTTGTCTTGGTGAGGCGTCTAGAATCAGCAAGTTCGCTTACACTGTTGGTTGGTGAACTGATGCACGAAGTTGTTGCTCACAGTTACTGGAGAGAGTTTCGTTGTTATGTCTACCGATTTTGGTCTAATCCTTCATCAAGGTGATTGCGAACATGATTTTAGCCAAACTGTTGACTCACATTGAACTCGCATAGAGCTCTCGCTAGTCCCTCAAATTAATGCTCGTCACATCAGATAGAAATGTATAAGATGTGCAACGCATAGTCTTATTGTAATAAAAGTGATTGTTATTGTATTTATTCATTGATCTATCGATGATTGATCATTAAATATACGATCATAATCAAACAACAAGATGATATAGTAATAGTAACCTTCATTTTGATGATGATGGGATGTATCAGCTCACTAATAACCTGACAATCTTTCTCCACTAATCCGACAAAACATCACAACAATCCGGAGCACTGATCTGTTTGTGAGGGAATTTGAAACCTTCGATAACAGACTTGTTTGCTTTATCGAGAGGTTTCTCGTTGCAATCAAATTGATGATATATCTTCAAGGAAGTTTCAGCTCAGGAAGTTTCATTTTTATTTTTGTTTACCTCGTCGAAAGTTTTATCTTGAGAAAAGTTTGTTCCTGATTAGTGCAAATACTCTTTGAAAGAATTTTACAACGAATTCTATCACATTCATTCTTTATTTTGCTCGAATGATCGTTTAGATCATTTCGAGTTCAGTTGGCGTAGATGAAGACTGGCTGAATGAATTTCTGAGAATCAAACAAAACGAAATTCCATTCCAATCCCAGTTATTCGTCAAATTTTTTTTTGCTCATTTTCACAAATTACGTTCATTATTTCGAATTCAATTAATCTTTTTCGCATTTATGAGTAGTCTCGCTTTCATGTTTTCCCTTTTCATATTGTCGCGGAATCCGAGAATATTTCGTTTTTATAAGACTTTTTCGCTTCCATGAATGAAGGCACCATTGAATTGAATCAAATTTTAAATCGTCACAAAGTAATGGCGATGTGATATTATAACTGTAAGAGAAAACCGTGCATTTTATGAGTCTTTTGTTCCCTTCTAAATGGAACAAATTGCTAATTTTGCAAATGGAACAAATTACTAACTCTTTTTGGTAGCAGAAAATCACAAATCGTTGTGACTACTCTTATGAAATGTGCTATTTTCAAATTGTAAGTGCAAACTTCGTGTGATACGAATACTGCACAGAATAATCCATAAGCGCATTCGTTAAATGTTGTCTGTTTTCCATTGCCCTCACTGAAGTTCAAATGAACAATCGATCCTTAGAGATTCCACGATTTTGCATTCCTCGAATTTAAAACTCTTCAATCGGGTGAGACATTGCAATTGTAGAGACAGCTGAAGAGATTATCTGTTGTAGGTTTTTTTAGTGATGTTCGTTTGACGAATGAAGTGAATTGCACCTGAGGGCAGTTGTTTGGATGTATGCGGGTGGTTGATGTGATCATAAGTAGATTCCGTTCATGTTCACAACTAAACGCATAATTGCATATGTCACCAACGCAGATATACGATATTTATTGCGATCGATGTAGTATTCAGCACTCATAAGGAAAGACAATTATTCATAGTCAGCACAACGGCCTCCGCTTAACTCAGTTTCAGTGAGGCATTCAAACTGCAGATGTCATTCGCATAAACGTTGTCTGAAGCGATTCCGTGTTTAAATTGCTGCTGGAAAACGCGTTTGTTGAATGTTACTCACCAATTTGGGAAGAGATCGATCAGCAAAGATTGTGACTTTAATGACTAACTGAACAACGAAGATATCCCGTAGCTGTGTCGTCAACTGTATAAAATCAGTGAACCAACTGAATATTCATTGCGGAAATGACTCTGAATACCGCTCAACCAACTACTACGCTCACGCATGTTCAGTCAACATCGCAACATTACACGAAATCGAAGTGAATGTTTATTTTTTCATTATTATTCCAACTGCAGAAGGCGATTTTTGCCAGGTCTTAAGCATATGAAGAATAGAGCAAGCCTATGAGCAAGTTCGTTCCGTTGTTGTTTTGGTAAAGAGATCCGAAAGAAATTTTGATTGAATTCATCAAATCTTGTCTGAACTGATCATTATCTCGCAACTTTGTGAAACAACCGGAAGAGGGTATGAAGTGATGCATGAAAGGGTCACAATGAAGAAATGTTGCAAAAATCATCCATAAAAATCGTGCATTCGGAATGAAACGTTTCATTTGTCTCACCGATTGAATTTGCACATCAAATTTTCAGCAGTGAACCAAATCAGCAACAGCAAGCACCATCAACTCAACCGCAACAACGCAATCAAGCAAACTTAATAACATTTCCAAAAAACATCCTCAAAATCATTTGTGAACATCTTGAAATGAACGATCTGTATGCGTTTGAAATGTCCTGTAAAACATTTCGTCATGTTGCTGAAGAAGTTTGGGCGTCAATAACGCATACATGCCTTGATAAGGATCTAGCTGCCATCACCAGGTAGGTATCAAATCAGAGAATGGATACAGTGGCCTTTTGCGGTTCTTGTTGGCAAGACATTGCCATTTTTGAGACATTATTCCATGGAGCCAATTTTGGTTCTCTAATATGAAGGCGCAATTTCTTGTGCGATTATTTGTCGAGAAATGTTTTATCTATGGAATTGCTTCACTGATCTAAGGCAATTAGACAGAATAAGTTGAACATGCGCAAAGAGTTAGTGGAACTTTTGACGAATTATTGCAGTGGATGGGTTTGAAAGAATGGTGACTTAATACCTATTGATGCGAAAGCACTCACAATCAGTTGTGAAGAGATTGACTACTTTTTTATCTTGAAAATTCAATTGACAAGTCGTCAAAATTTAGTCTGGAATGCGAGAGAATTTGCAATTTCTTTTGTTGCAGACTCTTTCCATCAACATATTCCACGACTATGTGTCGTTTTTGTCTGCCGCCCGATAACCTCTGGGCACACAATCGCCACGAATTGGATGTTCTGTTCCCGAAAACATGTCTTCGAGCCGCTTATCCAGACTTAGCCTTCCTCATACGCAAATGCACTGCACTCGAATCGATCTCTTGTTTATGTGTGAGTGACTGATTGATTGATTCCGTTGATTTGTTTGTGCATTTACATTCGATAAAACGGTGCAAGTTTCGGATTGCTTTTACACTGAAAAGTTTGGCGACATTATTTGACTGTGCCACACAGTTTCCTCATAAAACGGCTCTCCGACATGTCTTTCATATGTCATGCTTATAATTTGGCAAAAGACAGTATTTTTCCATTGTGAACCAACATTCAACCGGATTGCAATCTGGTGAATGCTTAACTTTTTTTGAAAATTGCAGCCTCCATTCAAATCGTATCGTGTAACTGCAGGCCGCAGCTTCTTTCGATTCATTTCAACGGGTACATTCGACTATGTTTCACGGTTAGATCTCACAATGACACGGTTTGTTCGCATTTGCATTATCGCACATATATATCATACAAAGTTTTCATAATATTTGCTTTCTTCGTATGCGTTTGACGCAATTCAATGATTGGACTATATCACTGTAACGAATATTCAAGTCTGATTGAGGACCAACTCTTTTCAGTTATAGATTTCATAAGTTGACTTATTCCTCGTTTCGCTGGATGATTTTCAACGAAAACACGACAGTTTTCACTAAAGATTTTCGATAACTTTGCGAGAAAAAAGTCAAGATCAATCACAGTCTATGGTATGATCAAGTACAATTGTCTCGCTTGACTGTCTGTCTACAAGGCGATTTCAGCTTTGAACTGGCCGATTTGGAGCTGTGTCAGCATAGTTTTTCGTATCTGAGAGAACTTTGCGTTGATAAATGCTGCATATATGTTTATCGACGTGAAGTGCTGTTGACGAAACCAGAGAAGGAACTGAAAAGTGTATTGGCGAATTTCAATCAACGTAGACGCAAGATTCCGCTTGGTGCAAAACTTTTTATAGGTGAGTTTGAATTTTGCTAGAAAACAGCTGCTTGCACTGTTTTTATGCGTCTGTTGCGAGAAATGTCACGCCGAAAAAGACGCCGAACTCTGTTGATGATGATGTGAAGTGATTTTAGTTGCTGATAGCTGAAATTCGAAGAAATGAGCATTGCACATCTTCGTGAAGCCAGAGGTGTTTTGGCTTATGACGAACTTGAAACCAAACAAATAGTTTCAACTAGTTGATTGGCTTTAGCTAGTGGTATTTGCAGCAAAAGATAAAAGTAATGGATGTTGATTGAAAGGCAGTTGTGCAAATGATTCATGAAACATCAACTGACACAGCTCAGTGATTGGACTCAAAATTTTTGCGCTGATGACTGCTTTCGATATGAAAGTCTTCGTTATCAATAGAGAACATCTTAAGTGCAATTTTCAATGTCAAAAGATTTCAAAAAACCAGACGATGAAGGGATCATAACAGATTTGTTGCTTCTCAGATCGAAGTTTCATGTCTTCTTTCAAACGAATCTACACATCGGTCAAAATAAATTGATAATATTCCTAACAATTCATGAATTTTTTCAGCCACAGTCGCCGAAATATTCTCGGACTTGAATCGTCTGTCGTCACGTAACACCGAATATCGCAGTAACGGATGCATCACGTATTCGTACGGTGAAGATGATTCAGAAGCAGTTTATGAGCTGTTGCCGAGGCAACGACGTCGAAGTTATTGTGCTGTATTGTTGAAGAAAGCCGTACAACAGTTCCACAACCGTAGACAAAGTGAAAGTCTTCAATAGCCATAGGCACATCAAAAACTGAACCGTAAAACTGTAACATGTCTAGACGTGATTGTGGTGGTTATGGAGCGGGGAACACGGGAACGATAGTCTGAATAAAATACTCAATAATATATACTGAAAGCAGTTTCGATTGTGTGAGTAATTTTCATCAATAGTAATCGTCCGGTTCGCATAGTATAGTTTAGAAATGCATTCATCAGGAAATTTGTTCAGTGTTTAGGTTAGTTCTAGTCCGTGAGGTAATGCATCATATTGCATCGGGATGAGATTATTTTAATGTTTTTCCGACGGGTTGAATACTCATATGAGTAGAATGCAAAAACAACGATTTACATGTGTTTATATCAGTCATTTTATTTGGAATTGTATTTATTTTGTTATTATTTGGTGATATTTGTTTACGATAAATATTTATGCATCAGTTGTTTTTGAAATCTGATCACTATTTAATAATGCCAATAGATGAGATATAACTGTATGGAACGAGAGGATTTCAAGCAACCGACGGATGCTCGATGCTCCTCCTTCGTTTGTTTATGTCAATTAATCATGAGAAACCCATGAGAATTCGTTTAAGTTTATCAAATGTTTAAGATATTGGAGAAATCGTTTATAAATTTTAAATTATATGAGGAACCAAAAGGTATGAATAAGGATTGTGAAACATATGCGTAGGAATGTGGTAAATGAAACTGAGTGTAGCCTCAAATTGTTTGCATTAGTCTTGCTGAAATGATGGTAACAAGTGCCTGATGGCTTCTTGGAGATGACTCATTAAATGCTTTATTCTCCAACGTTTTACTAGCTTGATGAATTCTCAGACTGGCTCTCTGTACTTTGTCATCATATTCTCTACTTCATAGAAGGTTTTCATTCTTACCATATAATGCAATATTATGCATTATCCAACGATATTCTTGCATTCGCTAAACCTATCTCTGAATGGCTCTCTTTTTTGTTCACCAATGTGATCACGAATCGAACACATTCTTATTTAAACATATTAATGTTTCACCATTTGTAAATCCTATGCAGTCGGAGGATTGTGTTCAGAGCATCTATATCATTGTATTTGAATGATAAGGTCGTATCACTGCTGTGATCGACTGGGTTGGAATCATTTGAAGTTTATGTCACTGAGTTCATTTTTCATGAATTCTCTTGACTGTTGTGAGGCCATAATTGAATTCTTGGAGACAGTGGATAATTCTGTTTGTTAAAATTGCGATAGAAGAGACAATATTCAGAGAAATTATTAAATTTTTGAATAGGCCATTAGAAATCGAAGATTATGGTCTGTGTTGATTTGACATGAAATTCTTATTAGCGCAATGGATTAAAACAGATGCACGTTTGTTTAAGTACCTCTTTTTTCTACGTTCGCATGATCAATTATACAAGAAAAAGAATAATTCCGTTAACTTAATTCTATTATTAGTTCAGCACCTCTTATTCATCCCATATCCACCTCAATTTTACGTTGTCGAATGAAATACTTCTAATGTTTGATAATATTTTCGTTTTAATTGTGAGTGTTGGTACGACAGATTCCACATCTTTCTTAAGCTTTTTGAATGGTTTTAAAATTTCTTCTGGGATTTCAAATTGTTTCATTGGCTTATCTAAAGCATTTAACCAACTAGTAATGATGATCTTTTTCATCAGACATACACACTATCAGTATTTCATTAAAATGAATGTAAAAAAATGAGCGAGTTAACTAGACTAATTTCTCGACTTGTTGTATATGGTATGTGAAACGGAGATTGATCTACTGATAGTGAGATATTTTAGCAATCATCCTTGTTAAATATTCGTAATACGTCTTTTTTATGCTCTTCTAAAGTCCGCCATAGGCTGAAACTTTATCATCCCCAATAGAATTTGGTTGATGTTGGAGAGGAAAACTTTTTTCGTAAGCCATTATCACATAGAAAAATAATGATAGATGAATTGAATTTCAGCATGCCACCGACACTACTGTTTGCATTATTCGCGGTTGCACTGATCTCGAACCAATGTGTTGTTGGTCTACCGTTGTTTTTCATCCTCCCATCATATGTCGAATCACTCGGGTAAACGATTGCATGCACATTTGTATGGATCCATAATTTCATTGATGCTCACAGATTGATCATCCGACGATCCATGTGAATGACACCTATTCATGAATTTCTCCACCTCGACGTTGAAATTCCATCTTGAGAATCAGCTAACCTCCTCGGAATTTCAAATCATGCATGATTATTGAACGTACGCTTGTTTAAAAGCAGAACGTGAATATTGAAACAGTCACGGAACCGTTTTCAAACGTGCATTAAAATGAATGTAAAAAAATGATTTCGTAACGAAAAAAAAACTTAAAAAAATTCATTTCGTAACAAAAAATTAGTTGAGCTTAAGAATTAATGATCTGTCATTTAGAACAATTCAGTTTTTAATAATTCAATTTATAATGAGAATGTCGTTCGAACAAATCCAAAATGATAATGACATTATGCTTTTGGCGGCCACAACTTATATGTTAAGACGTCTTTTTTTGAGAATTTCTGATACGGAATATTCTTCTTGCAATTACGGATCATGACATGGAATTTTTCGTTCGATGTTATGGCATCATATTGAATATCGTATCGTTTTTCACGGATGGATGAGAACATTTCTCATAAAAGATATTAGCTCAATTAATTAAATGTCAATCAGTAATGAGTAATTAAATGTTAACTTCCTAACGTCAATAACAATTACATGTCACCAAAAAGGCTTCAACGAAGCATCAATTACATTGAGAGTGCTCTCAGAGTATTGCCATCTTATCGCTCATCACCTCTACTCGATGCCTCATTGTGAGATCAGCATTCAAAAGCTCGTATTTATGAATCCAATCCGTCAATAAAACCTGAAAGATAGATGCACACGATCAATTGCTTTTTCAAGATCAAAGAACCAGAAACTTATACTTTTGTATCAGTGATGATGACCGACTGACTGAAAATTTTTCGCCGAGATTCTTTAAAGTAAATTAATATCACTGATTGCCATTATGAGTTGCTTTCATAAATCAAAATGAAATGTTTTCATACATTCTGACTACAAAAGGAATGCTTATTTCAGATCAGCAAACCAGCCAACAGATTCAGCCGTACGTAATCGGATTCTGAATAACTTCTTGAGAAAGCAGCCGAGGTTTCAAACAGAATATGAGATGTTCATATGATCGATCATCATGTTAAAAGACAATTCAAGAATACAACAATGATAATAAGAAGAAGATCATGTTCCACAGTATATTGCTATATGATAAAATAAAAAATATTGTTCCATTGTTTACCAACCACTTTCCTGAATCTGTTTCATTTGTTTCGAGAAAATCATTGCAAAATATAGCTAAAACCGCAAAATTTTGTGAGGCAAAAATATTGAACTGATGCTCTTGTCTAATTCAAAAATTCATTGTCAAAGGTGCTCATAATAGCCATCACATGAGGTCATTTTATTTCGAAATATAATGTTTGTGATAGCCAATATGATTCACTATTAGAATGCCACAGAACACTACAATCTTCTTAATTGAATTTGAGCATTCTAACAGAGCCACACCAAAATTAGTGACAAATATAAAAGTGAACGAACAACATCACGTAAAATATTTGCCCCGAGTTGACATTAATGAGAATAATCATTGCTTTGACCTGGAGATGACCATTCTTGATGAATGGGTGCCGGATGTCAGCTATGCTGAAGTCCATCACTGACGAGTTTGTTAATGTGATAGATCATTCTGTTTATCAAGTGTGCAACTGATCCGACTTGAATAAATTCAAATAATCGAATGTATTTGCATGCATGCAAAATCAGTGTAATTCTACATTTTATTCATCATCAACGTTTAATAAAATGATAATTTCTAATGGAATGTGCAAATTTCTATACAAATGCCTACATCAGGTTTTGAACTGAACCGTCATTTCACGTTTCGTTCATTCTCCAATTATTGTACAACCTCATTTTGCTCACGAGCGGCTGACAAAGGAAAACGATCAAGATGAGTTCGAGTTCAAGTGACGAGTGCGTTTGGCACTGTTTTTTAATACGTTTCCGCTCGATCCGGTTCCAAAACCTTCCTTGGGTCTAGCGGATGTTTCTATTCTACTCTAGTCTATTCCTGTTCCATTACAACGAATAGAACAGAACAGATTCAGAAGAAAAAACGCAAAGAACGGAACGGAACAGAACAACTGAAAGGCGGAACAGAATAAAATAGAACAGTTTGTCAAAAGCGTGTAACAGGAACATGACATTCCTAGGATCAGTGCTCTTTTGAATTGAATTGAGTCAATCATCAATTCACTTCGCCAGCAAGTGGACTTGAACAAATTGAGTAAGCTGCTGTCTTCACAACTACCCGACAGCTGTATTTGTCACTGCTTTTGGAATAATCGAATCGAGAGAGCATGCTGTGATGTTCGTGATTGAACTGATCTCGAGTTACAGTGGTCGATCTGGTGATGATACTAACAACAATGTGCGGTTGGTCACATCCAAGAGAACTTACAACGTCAAAATTAGTGATTTTGCATTTTATTCGCTGAAGATTCGAAAGGTATTGTTTGTTGTCACTTCAAAAGATGATAACTCGCGCAATTCCATTTGTTAAGTCAATATTTGATGGAGTAGATGCAGGATGGGTCAGTATTTATCGATCGCTTCAATGAGCTAATTTAAGCTGGCCGAAATGGACAGAGTACCACAGAAGATAAATTTGTCACCATACGATGATGTGGCCGTAAGAACATTGGTAAACTACATAAAAGGAGATGATCAAAGCAATATCGATATATCGTTCTACGCATTGGCCGATCTTCTCGATTTGGCGCGATCACTCTTCATCATCAATCTGTTGCGACAACTCGAGAACGTACGTATTCGTTCGAGATTCTCGACTCTTTGTACATTCTTCTTTGCAATTATCAAAAACAATCATCAATGTGGATAATGTTCGTTACATTCCAATAGAAATTTCCGGCATTCTTTCGAATTCTTCAGTATTTCAAACGCTCGACTTCGTCAATAGAATCTAGCTGATCATAAGTTGATAAGTGAATGATCAAGTATCAGATCAATGATGAATTTGAAGGCATTGGTTGGTGTCGCATCTCAAAACACTGCCGGCTTACTTCAAGCGCTGATAATCGTTGGTAAGGAACGTCTCATCAGTGGAGGTTTACTGTCGCGTCGTAAGATCGAGACGATCGCCGCATCGCAATTTCCTCAATTGGCACAACATCGTAATATCGGCCAAATCCCGGCGATCATCTTCGCGAACGTGATAGCCAGATGTGATCTGAATGTGAAGTCGGAGATGGAGGTGGTCGATGCGGGACTGAAATGGATTTGGCGACAGAAGAATCGTTTAGCAGCCACTCAGTTGGTCTTCTCGCGAATTCGTACGGCATTCTTGTCGCCCGGTGACAAGTCAACGATACGACAACGTGTCAAATCACTTCCGGATGGTGAAAAGGTCATTCGATTCGTTCATTCTACAACAAACAAAAACCGACAAATCACAATTTACTTCAAAATTTCAAGTATAAACCGTGCTGATTGCTCAACTTTGATCAGCAGTACGACTTCAAGTAGTTTTATCAGAGTTCCTCTAGTCGATGGCAGCGTTCTTGGGCAAATGAAGGTTTTCCAGGTGCTACCGTTAGTGGCATCAATGTTGTCCAGTTCAAACTGTCGACGATGTTGCATGAACAAAGAACACGTAGATGTGCATTGCATTCGCTGTGGTGTACCTCAGCCATCCGATGACAATAAAGTCAACTTTGATAAACTACCTCTGTAAGTTCTTGAGAATGAAATAAATCTGAGTTAAAATCAACGCTTATATTCATCAGTTCACCTGAGTGATCGAACAACAGATCGCATATTGACGGATGATTGAGCGATGAGTTAAAATCATTTGAAGAGTGAATAGCTTGATTTGAAACGAGCTTGAGGTTACATGAAAAAGTTGTCTGATGAAGAAGGCCAATGAGCCACACAGGTGAATAGGATATGATGATCTAGCTCTTGAAATTAAAACTAATTTCAGTTCGATCCCGAGTGCATTCGTTCCGAAGAAGAGCGGTTTGTTATATGATGCTTCTTAAGTCCTCAGTTTCCATTCTTTTGCGCCTTTGAGTTTCATACACATTACCTCATGGGGGCTTATCAAACGACGTTTATCTTATTCCTCAATTCTGGTTACAGAGAAATCGAAGAAGAGAGAAAGATCGAAGAAATCGTCAAGTCGCACTCAAAGTCGCAGTCGTGAGAGCCATGAGAGTAGCGAGAGTCATGAAAGCCGTGACAACTCCAGCGAAAGTACGCAGAAGCATCGTTCATCGTCGCGTCGTCGTCATAAAATGCCAGCCTCATCAAGCAAGACCCATAAGAGTGGATCGTCACACAAATCGTCGAAGGTCGATTAAATTATTTGATTCGATACGAAATTGGTAGTAGCATGATAGAGAATTCGTCTGATTTCGCTGGTTCAGATCATGCATTCATAAACATTAACTTATTAGATTAATGCACATATACGTTATTCTAACAATGCTGATATTCTGACGTTATCTCATTTATCTTGAGTCCTCATATGCTCTAGCCATAAGAATGTTTTTCTTAATGATTATCTAACGAAAGTAAGTAATATAATAGTGTTTTCATATACATTGCCAATGATGGTCATCATTACTAGATGGAATGCATCAGGATGATATCAAATGAAGTTATTAGAAATGAATGATAATGTGTGCGGAGGACGTTCCCGTAGAATGCTTAAATGATACAAAAAATACAGATGTGAAATTCAGAAAAGCGATAAAAGAAATCGTGCAAAACGTTCCCGCCACCACCATCGTTCAACGAGTAAATCGAACAAGAACAAGATGAACAAATCCCGCAGCAACAGCAAATCAAAGCACAGATCCTCTAAGAAGAAACATCACTCTTCGTCACATAAATCCTCCTCACATCGCAAATCCTCTTCGAACTCCAAACATTTAAGAAGACATCGTAGCTAGTAAATGATTGCACATTGAAAACCGACAAATTTGAGATATCATTTCACGTTGTTTGTTGTTTGAAATTACCTTCGATTGAAGAGTACTATTTAGATTCTGGTTCACACCACGGAAAATTCATGTAAATTGAAACTGAGGTCACTCTTGTTCGAGGACCGTGTGACTCAGTTTTGACCGAATGGTTTCATGCAAAAAAGTGTCTGAGCTGGAAGTCTTTCGAATTTTGATCGATAAATTTGATCGCTGAAATCTGTTTGTGAGAATTCTGGAACTGGAATGAATTCGATATAGCTGCTCCTAATTTCAGGGATGTGAGAGCGTTCGGGTGCCTGAAGAAGATCTCGATATGTGCAAGCAACTCTCTTATATGACTATAATCCAATGATTGCTTCTTCGCTGACTTTAGGAAAGCTTTGGCTTCTAATTTCAGATTGAAATGATAAAACTTTTGTGACTGCTCTGTTTGTTAATGCACCTTCATGTACATTATCACAAGCTATCATCTTGATATATTCATGTAATCTATAGAACGATCCATAATTCAAAATCTCAAGCTTACACCGAAGAACTATGCTTTCAAAATGTTTCAAGTTTTTAAATCAGAATTTTCACTTTCATGGAAATCCGAACCTGAACCTTCAAATGGAGCTTATGCCTGACCTGAAACTGAAACCCCGACCATTATACGGACGTGCAACTTCCGGTAAATTGGGCATTTTCAATTCGCTTAGATTTAGGGGTATACATACACTTCGTCAAGTACGAACGGACTGACAGTTCGCCAAGTGACGGAAGTGGGATTTTCATTTGATGTGTTCAGAAATGTGAATTTCTTACCTACTGAAAGGGAATAAATCCGGGCAATTCATATATCATTTTGTAGCGCACATCCAGGACAACAAAACATAGCTGATAGATTTACCAGTGATCGACATATGCTTGAGACTTTAGACTTTTTCGGCAATTATTAAGTTAAGAGAGTTATGACGCTCGGCGTGAGCAATGGTGATGCTCAGTGATAACAATTGGCATGCATATAGTACTCTCTCACTGACTATAAATATAAAACGACTATAAACCAACCGATACTCTTCTGAAAATGTATAACACGGGTGAACTTCGAGATTGACTACTATTCATTTCAACAATAATATCCTTCCAGAAATGAACAAAAAGGGAAACATCCAATTGAAGGAAATAAGTGAAATCAAAAAATCGCACGTTATGATGAAATAGTGGAATGCAATGATTTGATAATGAAATACAAACGACAAACAAATTGCTGAATTCAAGTAAAATCTGTTTCACTATTTTCAACGCTGGAATCAAAAACCTGCAACGCCGCAAGATGAAACAGGGGCTATATATCCGTGACCTCAAACCTGATGTTGATGTCCGAAAATTAAAGTCTGAGATTTATAAAAGAATGAGATTTTTTCCAGTGTTTCATCATACCACGCGATTTTTTGATTTCATCATTGTTACTCTGAATTGGATTTTTTTAGTAGCTTTTCGTATTGTATGACCTCAGTATGAACGACAGATTGCTTTCAGTTGAATTTAGCATTGAAGAGATCGAAACAGTTTTTATTTGAATTCAGTATTTTGTCGTTTGTATTTCAGTATCAAATATTTGGATTTCTCTGTTCTATCACACCATGCGATCTCTCGATTTCATCACTGCGAATTTTACTATAAATTCAATTTCAATTTTTATTACTTTTTAAAAGTGTGCACTGCTATTATAAATAATAAGGCGGTTTGTATTATATTTATAGTCAGTGAGAGAGTACTATATAAATGCCAATTGTTATCACTGGGCATCACCATTGCTCACGCCAAGCGTCATAACTCGCCTAAATTAACAATTGCCGAAAAAGTCTAAAGCAGATTTCTGTTGTACTCAGTTTCGGCTACAACATGGTATATATCATGATTAAAAATTTTTCCTGTCGGGTGGGTACCAATTGAAAGTATCTGTTGCATTTTTGCCCTTAAGGCGAAATCAAAAATCTCAAGCATATGTCGATCATTGGTAAATCTATCAGGTATGTTTTGTTGTCCTGGATGTGCGCTACAAAATAATATATGATTTGCTCGGATTTATTGCCGTTGAGTAGGTAAGAAATTCACATTTCTGAACATATATCAAATGAAAATCCCACTTCCGTCACTTGGCGAACTGTCAGTCCGTTCGTACGTGGCGAAGTGTCACTATCCCGATTTAGGGGCTGAAGATATTCGTACTCGGCAATGTAACGAGTTCAATTGCACAATTTGGAATTGGGTGGTCCCGTAACGATGCTTGTTGAAACGTAAGCAATTGCTCGCAGCCCAAAATGATACTGTTTCTATACTTGCAAACGCTCTCCAGTATAAATTGTCTCGAGATCGTTGGTTTTGAGATATTTTTATGTTATGTGGGGTGTAGTAGTGATGATTTTTGGCTGAAACTTGTAAATAATCGTCGTTTAAGTTTTGTGTAGGCGAATTTCAGAGTAGCTGAGAGGAAGTGATCATTTTCGAGATCGTAAGATTTGTTGAAATGCACAGTTGACTTTCAGAAAATTGTGTAGTAATGCTTTACTTTAATTGATCATTGTTCAAGCCCTTTCATCGGTTTACGTTTAAACAATATTGTTATTGCTGAACTGTTTCATTCAGGTCTTTAAAACGTTTTAAATCGGAAAAACGATCCTTGCATCACCACGATGGGCAGGGAAGACAGGGCCACCTGGAAGGCTAATTACTTTGTAAGAATCACCGAACTACTTGACGAGTATCCCAAATGTTTCTTGGTCGGCGTCGACAATGTCGGCTCGAAACAAATGCAAGAGATCCGTCAGGGTATGAGAGGTAAGGATTTTTCGAATTTACAATTGCAGAAAATAAAATTTTTCAAAAATTTCAGGCAACGTGAATTCGTAAAATTTTTTGTGAAAAAAAATCCGTTTCGGTTTATTTTGATTTTAAACATGGTATGAGCATGAAGGTTATGATAGATGTTGGATGTAATGTGCGAATTCTGCTAATAAATTATTATGTTCTTGAAGGGCATGCGGAAATTTTGATGGGTAAGAACACGATGATTCGTAAGGCGATTCGTGGGCATATGCACTCGAATCCGGATTTAGAGAAGTTACTTCCGCACATCGTTGGCAACGTTGGTTTCGTTTTCACCAAAGAAGACCTGTGCGAAATCCGAACCAAATTGTTGGAGAACCGAAGAGGTGCTCCAGCAAAGGCTGGCGCAATTGCGCCATGTGACGTAAAGCTGCCACCGCAGAACACTGGAATGGGTCCAGAGAAGACCTCTTTCTTCCAAGCGTTGCAAATACCAACGAAAATCTCCAGAGGTACCATCGAAATTCTCAACGAGGTGCATCTGATCAAAGAGGGCGAAAAAGTGGGTGCCTCTGAAGCGGCACTACTTAACATGTTGAACATTATGCCATTCTCGTACGGTTTGGTTGTGCAACACGTGAGTTTATTCATTCAGTTCTTATTGGTTCGTTGAAATTAACTGGATATGCTTTTTGTTGTGCCATCTTTATAATAGACGTCTTGTTTTGATTATGATCGAGGTGATTCATTCAAGGTTTATGATAATGGTACGGTGTTCACACCGGAGGTGCTGGATATGACCGACGAAGAAATCAGACAGAGATTCTTGGTTGGTGTTCGAAATGTGGCAGCAGTGTCGCTGGCAATCGGACATCCAAGCATGGTTTCAGTACCGCATTCGATTGCTCGCGGTCTCAAGAATATGCTGGCCATTGCCGTCGAGGCCGATGTACCGTTGAAAGAGGCTGAAAAGGTATTCGTACGATAGTTTTGAAACTTGATTGATTATGTCTCGTGAAGAAGATAAATTTTTTCATTTCGATTATTTTCGGTTACTTTATTGTACCATTTTTTGAGTTAATTTGCTTCCGTTCTACCCTTTTTTTTATTTTGCAGATCAAAGAATATTTGGCCGATCCATCGAAATTCGCTGTAGCGGCTCCAGCTGCAAGTGCCGCAGCCCCGGCTGCAGCCTCTGAAGCAGCTCCGGCTAAGAAGGAAGAGGAGAAAGAGGAAGAATCCGAGGATGAAGACATGGGTTTCGGTCTCTTTGACTGATGTGAGGGGAGTGATTCATGAGGGTGTTGAGTGGATGGGATGAATTGTTGTAATGGTGTTTGTTGAAGAGGTGTTAGTCCTCATTTGTTGTAGTTTTGTGTGAAGGCACTTCAATGTTTATTTGTTTATTTGCGGCAATACAATCGGAATAATAAAATTTGTTGGTTCTCATTTTATTTGTGTTTCGTTTCGAATTGCGCGTAACACATTACGCCTCATATTCCGATGATACCGTTGAATGTTTTTTTTGTCATTTGTACTTTTTGTGTGTCGACTCACATTGTTTGTAATGATAGTGTGGAGTTGGGATTAAGGCTTTGAAAGAATTCAGGTCATTGAAATTTTGCTGTGGAAGGTGATGTTTGCTTGATTCGGGACGTAATGTATATAAAGATTGAGCATTTTATTGAATGAAAAAGATAATATTTGCAGGATTTTTATACATCCTTCAAGGGTATACATATAAAGGTCACCTTTATCGAAAATGCTGATCTTTAAGGACGCTTTTACAGGTTCGTTCTTATGAAATTATTCCACGTTTCGATAAGTTTTCAATGCTGTTAACTTCTTTCAAACTTTGTCCATTACGTCCTTTGTATTTGGGAGTTTATATTGTTTTCATTAGGTTGCAAATAACAAGCAAAGATATTATCACACAGTCTTGATTAATGTGGGGAAAATAACCGGGGAAGGGTATTAGCAAACTCTAGTGGGTGTTTTCGGGTTGTTCGTGTCTCCTCATAAGAAAGCCACATACCTTGAGTTTACTTTGTCAAATATGTTCATTGCAATTGAACTTGACAACAATCATTCGCAGTGTTTTACTGTGTGATTGTTGGAAGGTGCTTGAGATGAACGCTGAGTTGAATGCGAAGTAAACGAGTCATCATGTGGCAAATTAAACTTGTGACTCGCGGCCATCCGAGTTTGCTTCTTTTTCTAGTAATACTATTGCTGGTAAGGAGTGAACAGTGTCGTGTGAGTTGCAACAGCTAGACATCGAGTAGATTCATGTTGCGGATTCGAGCCGGGGCTTGCTCATGAGCAATTTACTGTTTCCTCATTAAGAAAGGATACATTTCAGATGATGAGCTATGCTCAGACTCATTCCCAATGAAATTGGTTGACGATCTGATTTGGGAGTTCAAAGGAAAGCATGTGATCAGGAAGGAAGGGGAAATCATGCTGCCCGGGGCAAATCCATCTGCTGAAGAAGGCGAAGAGAATGGTGAGGAAGAGCACATCGAGAGGGGAATCGACTTTGTGCTGAACCACCGGCTGCAAGTAAGTTGTTTAGTTTTTGTTGACGGTGATTGAAAATCCCCTCAGTATTGACTCAATTTTGGGTTCGTATTGGTTACATTCAAAAGGACATAACGAGGTATATATTGTAGGAGATGAACTGCTACGAGAACGTGCCCACTTTCAAAAGTTACATCAAAGGCTTTATGAAGAACGTTATTGAATTGATGGAGAAGAATGGCAAGTCTGCAGATGAGATTGCCACCTTCAAGAAGAAGATCCAAGCTTGGGTTGTTTCTTTGCTCAACAAGGATCGTTTCAAGCAATTGCAGTTCTTTATTGGCGAAAAGATGGCCGAGGGCCACGGTGATGGTCAAGTAGCAATTGTTGAGTTTCGTGAAGAGGCAGAAGGTGAAGTGCCCTATTTGATGCTCGTCAAAGAGGCGTTGATTCAAGAAAAGCAGTAATAGGTGGAATGCTTGCTCTTAATTGATTGTTTGTTCGTTATTCATTGTGAACTTGAATTGGAACATTTTTCATATTATATTATATTGTATTGCTTTGGAATGCATGTTTTTTTACGTATGGCAAGTTTTTCATTTTTGATATGCGCTCATTCATTTGCAGTTAATGTTATGTTGGCTACTGTAATATCACTTCGTTCCATTAGCTCGGATTGAATCTTGAGGTTCATTTTAAAAAATTATTGCCTTGACGTAGAAATGAAAATTTGGAACACCTTAACGGTAATCCATTGGTTGACTGTTTGGCTCCGGAATCTCTGAATCTGTTTTCATTTCATTTGGACCCGTTACTTTTTCGATCGTTCACTTTTTGGTTTGTGTTCCTATCCTCCTTCATTCATCGCACAACCATGTGTAAAGTGTGCTTTGATATGCCGATATTCATATTGCTTCATTGATAAAAGCACAATTGATGCTGTTGAATCGCTATCACCAATTCAATTGTTCCCTGCAACTGATAAAGCAACTCGACTCTGCTCAAGTTGAATACAGAACATTTTCCGTTAGCTTGTTCTTTCCCGTTTCTCATCAATATTGAACAATTGCATCGAGAGGAGATCTGTTCCGTGAAGCAGTACGAAGACTATTTATATTGTGTTTTATTGAGCAATCGTAACATGAATTTAGCGGTTTTTTCCGGAACGTTTTCATTCTGAATTCAGAAGATTTCCAATCAAAACTTTTAATACTTGAACATTTCACATCCGCTGGTTATTTATTTTTCATTCATCTGTCGATTCGTTTTATATGGATCATTTCAGTTTTCTTTGCTGAGAATGTGGGAAGGAAATGTTTCAGTTACTTTTCTATGAGATAGAATTATGAATATGTTTGAAGTTGTTTCAGAATGATAATGAAGAGTTGAACTGAAAACTCTGTGAACTGTTGCTTGTTTGTCCCGTTTTTTGCGTTTTCAAGGAGACAATGAAGTTTTCGAGTGTTGTTTTCTCGAATGTCTCATCGTCAGCAACAAAAGATGAAATGAAAATTGGCATCGGTTGAAGTGATGAATAATGGAATGGGACGAAATTCCCCATGACGTTTTCCGATTGATGGGGATAAATTAAGCACTGATAATGAAGTTCAGCATGAGAACAGAGTGTTATAAGCTGGAGCGTTTGGATTCTTAAGTGAATTTGAAGTCTTGAATTGTGACGCTTTTCGGGAGGAACTGTTTCGGATTGGAACCAATCAAAAGAATTCTTTGTATGCGTTTGACAGTTGAACTGAGTTTGAAATCTGACAAATTTTGACTGGGCTTGCGCCGTGCATTCTGATCGGTGTTTAAGACAATGGAAACGAAGCTGTTATGGAACCGATTTCCATGTTTGCAATATTCTCACCTGATCGTTTCTCTAACAAAACAAAAGCGAATACTCAGATACAGTGCATTCGGATACCTTTGCCTCTTTCCGCAGATGGCTCATTTTATCATTTCGTAATGTGCAAATTCAAGTTTGTTCTTCTGAAGATATGGAACAGAGAAGGAGTGATTCTGAATGGAAAACATTCTTAATCAGGTGTACAGTCATAATCGAGTCGACTTCTGAAATAATTTCGCAAAGGATTCTAGTAGTTAATTGGCCAGTGTACATCTTTAAACTTCGAAGTTTCAGTTTCAAATAGCAACGTTTTTGGTGGAAGGAAGCGTATTGCTTAAAAGCAGATATTGAGTGAAATACAGCCAGAGGAGTTTCATGAACTGAATAAATATTGATAGATGTCAAACGAATTGAACGTTGATGGTGATGCACTGAATCGTGAACAATTGATTGATATCTTGGGTTTAAGAGATATTCTATTGATACCTTCATCAACCCAATCTCGACAAACGGTTTTTGTTCGATTCTTGAATTGTACATTCAAAGAAGTGGACTTATTTTGGGTCGATTTCGAGGTGTCATCTTGTTTGTTCGTTTGGCTTTTTTTCAATGATGAAAATGATTGTGTAGCGATAGCAGTTAATGTAATACTGATAGCTGATGGCAACCATAGCATCAATCATATTCCACTGACGATGACTGGTTGACACTAGAATCGAAACTGAGATTGTTTAAGATTTTGAGCAAAGAAATTATCTGATGGTGTTGTTGGTAATTAATTCAGGGTGGCCTGGTGAGATACGCGCGTCTTCAACCGAAGCAATATTTTGACGTTACCACTTACAGAGGTGGGTTTGCGATTCGCTTCTCCAGTCATTTATATCCGAAAGCAATTCACATTGATTTCTCGCTCGGAGATGAGCTCAAAATGAATGAATGCTCGAAAGAACACATTCAATGATTGTCGCATTGTTAAGGTCATCACTGGATTTTTCGTTTACCTTGTAACGGCTCAGCGGCATTCTGTTTACGAGATCGTGGTCGCATCGAAGAAGTTTTCACTGCGTCAAGTGCAAATCTGCGTTTGCGTATTTGTGTTCCTGTTGTTTTGAAATGTTAGTTCTCGGCTGAATGTGAGCTCTTGCGAGAGAATGACAAGCTGAAGAGCTGAAGTCGGTTTGGTTTTGAGATGAACCTCATTCTGACTCTATTGATCTCAGAAGCACTTCATGAATTTCAACGAGTGAACTGTTAATTTAATGAGTTTGTAGTGAAATCACTGCTGAAGACAGCAGCGTTGTGTGTCGCTGAGTTGTGTGGTACTTCGGAAAGAGCGAAGCGATTACAACTGCCAGAATCATTACAGGTTTTCGTTTCACTAATCGGTTGACTTTCAGCTGTTCATTAGTCGGATAACTGCATTGTTCTGGGATATTTTCACCATGAGTTTGTTCAGTTTTCACTTTCAGGCGATTGTATTGGATTGCATCGTTCGCAGAGTCTTATACCTTACGTATATTGTGCCACATTGAATCTTTGCCATTTGATTAGAATCAAGAAGGTATTCATCCATTTTGGTATCGTTTACACGATAACCAGAAGTTTTATTTAATGTGTACGATGGGGTTGTGAACGCATCATTTATTACATTCCTCATGCAAATAACGAATCACATCTTTGTTTCCTGTTGCCTCTCTGCTTTCTTTTCTATGTAATGAATAAATTTGATAAAATCGCAATAAATTTCATTCGTCAACTCAATACTATTCAGTTGTATTGTTTTCATGAGGATTATTCAATTTCTTGTATCTGTAGCACTCTCATCCGTAGTCTATCGTTGAAAATGGTTCGTTTCTGATGGAGACTTCGTTTTTCAGAAGACAATATTCAAAGATGATTACAACGAAAGAGCAGATCGAAATGACGTTGAGTGCTGAGGATAGCAGTTTACCAGGTGAACTCTTTGCACCTTAAACATGTTGGGATCTAGGGGAAGTTGCACACCAGAAAGTTCATGCTGAAACAATAAGGTTGAGCAAAAAAAATGAGATTGAGTTCGCAAGTGTTGATTCATATCTGTATGTTAGGACGCAAATCGCATTGCTCTCAAGATTCAACATTAAACTGGAAGGAACTAGTATTCGATACTGATGTTTCTGATTGAAACGATGCTAAATTTTATCGTTGCTTTCGAGGATTACATCAATATCAGCAGTGTTATATGATAATGAAATCAATTAGAATATGAGGATCACTCATTTTCAGAAGTTGTGCAAGAAGCACTAAAAACACGACAACTGAATGTGGTGTTGGAATGTATTGCTGAGTTGAGTGCGAAAGATGCGAATAATTTTCATCTGAATAGTGCTTTACTTGATGAATTGAAGAAAGAGTTCGCGTTGATCGGTGAGAAAACACTTTACGCTTATGTTGCCGAATGGATCAGCAATCTGAAAGATGTACCTTATTCACAAAAGACGCTGAGGTCCGCATATGTGTAATTGGATTCAAAATTTGCTCTTCTTTTATTTGCTTTTCTAAGCTCAGTGTTTTAGGTTGCATTTGTTGTAGTGATATTTATCATAGAAAATTTAAAGATGCCAATTTCCTCACCGATTCCTTAAGTCGATTACTTAAGTGGTTTACTGATGACTTGCACTTTGCCCATTCATAAACTGGTGATTTGAGAAAACATTGATAGCATTCTTAAATTCGGTATCGGCATGAACTCAAACGTTTAATCCCTTGAAATTTTCCATTATTCCTATATAAGATAAGTGAATTTGCACGTTTTTTTTTNTTTTTTTTTCTGTTCGGCTTTATTACCTGAATATGGCAGGAATCGTCTAGTGGAGCAGTTTGCATGACCTGAAATTTCCTTCTGAAGGTGTTGAATTTCAGGAGTAATTGTCTTCTGATTGAACGTGCCGTTCGATCGGTGAATTTACTCCAAGCTGAAGCACTTCGGACAATGTTAAACACAGAGTTACCACCACTCCATAACCAACTTCTGAACAGTGGTGAACAAAACGGTGCGGCGGCGATTTGTCGCTCTCTCTATTGCGTTACTATAATGGAGGCAACGTACGCGTGCGGTGTGGATTCTGAGGCTTTGAAGCGTTCGTGGTCGATTATTTTACAGAATAAGGTTTAATGTTATGGCAATAATAAATGATTTAAGAAAGAACTTTTGAAGATTTTGATTATGAAGTTTTCTGAAGGAATGAAACGTTTCATATAGTACATTTCACGAAGATTCAATAATAGTAATGATGGAGTACAGAATATTGTTTGCAACAACTGAATATTGAACGGTTTCATTTGTTCTGATTGCAGGCAAGCCAGAAGTCGCCGATTGTGTTGTTGTGCTCATTGTTGATTTCTACTCAGATGCGTCTTGATGCCGAAACAAAGCGATATTTGAAAGCTCTGATCAAAAGAATGGAATCATTTGGAGAGAGTACTGAAGTTGATTGCGACCCACTTTATTGTGATCGAATGCAGGTGGTGATAAGCATACTGCGTTCTAACTGAGAATAAGTATCACAAATCTCATTGAACAATCGTCGTAATGATGATGCAACTATATTTACGTCTATAATAATAAGTTGTGTGCAATGCGCATGATTATTAGCAATCAAAATAGGAAATTTCAGTTTTTTGCACTATTACTGAATAATATTGGTCGAATTTATGCGGCAGCTGGAAAGAAGGTTTCACATTGCGTCCTCTTGATGGAATCACTCATTCGGTTTTACTCGGACCATAGCCTGGTTCGTCACATTCTGTCTCCTGTTCTCTATACAGACCGGCAAGTCGCCGTTGAACTGTTTTGATTGTCACTTTTTAGAAGTGCGCACAAAGGTGCATATAATTGCTGAAGCCAAGTATGAACTGATCCTGAACAAGATGAGTTGAAGCGTAGGTTGATATTTGGACAAGCGTCAGTTAACTCTGCCTGTTTCTCGGAACAGAAGAAAATATATCGGAATCTTTTGATATCGACATTTTTGTGCATACTCATAGTTTCTTCGTGATAGCATTTGTGTACGCAAGAGTGAAAAAATTTTGTGTTTGATCGCATTCATTCGAATCATTCTGCTGAAATTGTTTGGTAACGTTTTGTTCAGTTTGCTAACAGTTTTTTTTTGACTTTCAGCTAGATGTGTTATCAGCCTCAATCTATGAGTCTTTGCATCTGCCGAATCCGAATTCTGCTCTCTTGTGCGAACATTTCTTCTATTGTGTTCTCCTGCTATTCCCTAAACTGATCCGGGAATCGGTTCAGGAATCACAACTGGAGAAGTGCAGAATGAAATATCTGTACGACTCATTACTGTTACCAAATGCGACATCTAAAATGCTTTGTCGAGAATTGTTCTGTCGAATCACCGAACTCTATCCGAACTTAAGCAGCAGACCAGTTCAAGAAGAAACAAAGCAAAAATCTAAAGTTGAACTATTGGAAAATGTGAACAATAGAACTCGTTCATTGAAAAATGGCGACCAAATTAGCGATACTGCTAAATCAGTAGCAGAAAAGAAACCAGGACATTCAAATACAGTAGTAGAATTCGGCGTATGGTTAGCGAGAATTGGAGGAGTTCTGAATGGATCTGATGAAAATGGTAAATCGACGGAAGCGGTATCAGCAGATTCACTGAAGAGGTTCAATCGTTCGTAATTATCAAACTGTAGTAATTTGAAAATTCCCAAGTCATTTTTAGTGTTTCGGAGAGTTTTAATATGAGTCTCCACCCAGATGGTGTCAGTTCTCGGTACTCAGTCTCTTTTCGTTTGAAGGTGGAACAGAGTATTTCAAATCAGGACAGTATCGTTCGTGCGACATCGTTTTTAGTGAAATTGTTAACGCTAGCTCTATTCCGTGACGTTCTCAAAGCGTATCCTGTCATCCTGACGCCGAAAATTTGCAGTGAATCGCCTGAAACAATGTGGATGGAAATAATGTGCGATTATTGCGAGCATTTGGCTCATCAAAACGATTTGATTCAGTACAACAGTGCTGAACTGTCACAAGCACTTGACATACTTATTGATGGGAAATGGCCTTTGGCTAGCATGTCTCTACAAACAGGATTGACGTTGTTTGGAGCATTGATGCAGTTGCTGATCGTATGTACGGATCACCTGAGTGAGCGCATTCTGGAGGCAATTCAACGGATTTTGAAGTAATTTTTGGTTTCACTCTTAAATGGTTTTTTACGAGCGAGTTCACTTAAGAATAACACTGATTATGATATTGCTAGATTTCGTGAATAACATGCCATCTCCCACCCGTAAGGAGTGCATGCATCCGCGATTTAGAAACCCTGGATCAGACGGTTTAGAAACCAGTTTTTTNNNTTTTTTAGAAATTTTAGAAATTTAGAAACCAGTTTTATATTAGAGTCATTTTGGCGATATATTCTGTGATTGTTGCAGATTGAATGAAGCATATTATTGCGGTATCTTGAAGAAATGTGATCTTAAACTACGCAAAATATTTGAAATGATAGCAAAACGATTGGGTCAAAAAAACTGTACGAATCGTATGCAAACGTTGATCGTTTTTTATTTATGCGCATCTGAAACAACAGAATTATTCGTTGAAAAGGTATATTTATACGTTCTAGTTGCAGTATTTCCAGATGCAGTTGGCCACTGTAATCATTGTTTTCATTATACATATACAATGTATTCATTCCATGATCAGTTTTTTTTAATATTTTAATTCTGTTTCATTTCAGTGCCGTGACCATTTAAACATGTTATCGTGGAAATCTGACGATTCTGAGTATGGACGATTACGCTCGATTGTGTTGAATTGTTTGAGTATCGCCTACAAGCGTATGAGTAACTCAAAGCTTTTCACTGATGAGAATTCATCGTCTGTGGGCAAAAGGTTTTTGAAAGAGCATGTCGGTTATTTTCTTTATTCACATGATTGTGTTGTTCTAGTGACCGCTGTGATATTTTTTAGTTCTGACAATATTCACTTTGTTATTACTTGTTCACATCGTAAGCGTTCGAAGAAGTTATTTCCTAAGAGATGATGGCATTGAATTGTGAATCTGAGACATTCTGGTGCTGGCAGATTTCATACTTCATGATATGTGCTCTTTTCAGGTTCTGCCATTGTTCAAAGAACAATTCCATGCGATCGCATCGAACAATTTCGAAGTGATCCCTCATGGCGATTTTGAAATATTTGCGATCAGTCTGAAAACACTGCGAGATCTGCAAGAAATCGAAAGTAGCGAAATCTTTGAATTGAACGTAAACGGTGAAATCGATTCGGCTACTCAGGTATGATCCAATGACTCTAAACGAGTGAATATTTGAGCTACCGAGATGCAGAATGCGGCAAATTGATAGTCTTTTTGGTGTGGAAGGAGGGATGCTGGTGAACTGAATGAAGCGTTTGGAATTATTCTGTTCCAGACATTCAAAATTAATAGTGAACGAGTGTTAATGTATAGATTTTTACGGCGATATTGAAATGTAACTTTTGAAGATGATTTATTATAATATTTATTCATTGATAACCCTCAACTAAACGCGTGTTTATCAATTATTGACTCGTAGATTTGTAAATCGATTTGTGGTCGAAGCAAGAAACTCGCAAGGCTCAAAGAAATTTGTCAAACAGGCGATTCATTGATAGTGTCGTCGATAGTTGATTTGCTGACTGCTCAGAATCAGCGTTCATGCCTTCTGAAATGGAAATGCCTCACATCGTTCATATCCTATGGACGTCACGATTTAGTTGAGCAAATTATGGCTGATGCAGGCTTAGATGAGGTCAGCAACTGTTCTGTCTGATTTGTTCTATTAATGACCTCATAAATGGCAATGTTACTGATGCACATGTTTTAATATTGGAAATAAATACTTCAGCATATTTAGATTGTGTTTTTATTTCAGATACGAAAGATGCTTCAAACTATCAACGATACTCTAGAGGGCATCGGTAGCGATAAACACAAGTATGATGGAAGTGATATTCTGGCAGTATGCTGTATAGTGTGTGAATTGCAAAACGACAAGAAAAAACATCTGGTTTTGGACATTTACGATCCGATTGTTCAGTGGATGCTTGCTACCGTTGAACAGAATCCCATTATTTGTCTGAAATTGATTCGGTTTTTATTTGCTGTGAGTTGCGAAGTTATTATCATATATTGTTTGAACGTTGTCGCCAATTTTCTAGACAGATTCATTTGCTTTCGTTCAATGTTTTACGATTATTTCGTGAAGACAACATCTGGTGACTTTTATCGCGATGGCAACGAAAAGCCAATGGAATATGGGCGGCATGAGCAATAATAAAGTTGCTCATAGAATTGCTTGATTTGTTGAATTTGTCATATCAGAGCAACTTTTCATATTTACAGCAAAATGAACGGCGATTGGTCTCGTTTGCGTTCAGTATTATTTCATGTTCATTTTCATTTCTATGCACTGAACAGCATTCGTTAAATGCAATAAACGATTCGGATGCTGAAACACTTTTAGAAATCAGCTTTACGTTGTTGGTTAGTTTATGATGAGTTCAGCAAACTTGATTCATGGTTTCAATTTTTGTATTCATTCTTTGAATTGTGCAAATTTTGAACGCTTTCGTTCTCAGTAAATTCAACCTTAAATGATCGTTACTTTCTCATCAGCGAATGACAGTTCGATCTGAACTTGACGTATATTCTTCAAATTGTTGCTAATATTCATTGAATGCTTCACTATTGAATGAAACTGTACTTAAGTGTAAACATGCGCTACTTAATCGTTGATCGCTTTCAGGAGTCTCTTCACCATTGCTGCTCGACGATAACCGACGATCAATGCGCTCTATTTGCTCAGCTGTTTATTCGTTGTGTGCAAAGCACACAGCGTTACGCAGATTCAGAATCGCATAGTGATTCGTTGTTGATACGCAATGTGCATTTGGTATCGAGTATAGCTCATGCACTTATCCCGCTGAAAACATCCTTTGCTAGGGTTAGTGCCGTCATATACGAACTGCTGTTTGGTCATTATAGTTTTTGTTATCATTGATAAAATGAAAAGATTAATGTTCAGATAGTTATTGTGGTGTTTCAGATAGCACCATTTATGATATCGGAATGTTTGGCTGGAGCGAAGCATACGCCTCTCGTCATACGGTACTTGTTAGCGATATGTGATCGTTACAGTATCGCAGTGTTGAGCACAAATCTACCGAGTGCTCAAAAATGGCAATTCAAACAAGTTTATACGAATTATCGAAAAACAAGTGCAATGATTGTTTGAAGCAGCACAACTCATCGATTTGTTCATGTGTACTTGTGTAGAATATTTGTTCGTTACCCACTAACGCTGAGCCTGTTGAATTTCTTTTCGAATGACACTAAGCTGCTTTCTAATTTTACTCAACTCAGATTGAATCTTGAGGTTCTGTTTTAAAAAATTACAATCTTGACATAGAGATGAAAGTTTCGCTGTCCTAGAACAGTTGGTTGTTGGTTGATTGTTTGGCTCTGGAATCGTCCTCTAAATGTTTTCATTTCTTTTGACCCTGTCACTTTTTTGAATCGCACACAAATCAGTTTCTCCTTCTGTCTTCTATCGTTTATCACAAAGTGGGCCTTGAGATATGCAAAATGGGCTTTGATATGCTGATAGTATAGTATCATGTTTTGTTCATATTGCTTCATTGGTAATAGCATAAATAATATTGTTGAATCGCTGTGTCATCAATTAAATCTATTCCGATCATTCTAAAGGAGTGATGAAACAAAAATCAGATGCACACTATAAGTTCTTTCAGATATAAGACGAATCGTCGGGATGAGAAGAAATATCACTGCAAATTGAATGGGTTTTCTTTAAGCAAAATTATTCTAATCAAATTGAGTCACCTAAATTTTTGGACCACTACTTTTTGCGACTGAGCGAATGATGTGTTGCTGTTAAGTATTGCTAACCTCTGGTTGCTTGTTCAGAATTCGATAGATATCTATAGTGGACTGATAAGGACATTGAATTCTAAGTGCTATTATCACTACTGGTGATATTGTCTGACTATTGCTGTGGTTGATTTATGCATACATTTGATGATTTCATAGTTGCTTGATGCTGTAACCTTTTGCAAGCAGACACTCTAGTTGTGGATCATTCATGTAACTCTTACTTTCATCAATAAGCCAACGATACTTGCGTATATTCTCACCTTTTCTTGAACGTATCGAATGAATGAGAGTGTTCAAGAAAAGCTATGGACAGAGCAGTTCAATGGTTAGCAAGGAATCTTAGTAGCTGTTCGCTCTCGAAAAAACAATCATATAAACAACTAACACACAAACCAGCGATAGCGAAGAAGAAAGGATCCAGTTAGCATTCTCGAGCGACAACTTTGCTCCATTACATCGTTGTTTGCTATCATACTTATTTGCTTGCTTAATTCACAATTCTTCCATTTATCATCATTAAATAGCGTTAAACGCAGGATATACGAACAAATATAACCATTAACCGATAACCACTGAGGCTAACAATAAGTATAACTAACTGATGTTTTGCTGATGATCACTTAATGAAGTGTTTTCAGTTCGTTTGTTATCGATCGTTCATTTATTTTGCTTCGTGTTATTTTTGATGATTTCCATCTGTGTTCCGATCAACCGTCTGCAGTTTGCCCATTCCTCTAGCACTTTCCTCATTCTCTTTTGCTGTTAGTATTTTCAATGCTTTGAAAAATATTCAGGCATCCAAACAGCTACGAAAAAAAAAATCGCTCAGTTAAAAATTACAAAACAAACTCAGATGGAGAAGGAAATTTATAAGAATATCTTATTCTTGTGACATCCTTGCTTAAAATAGGCAGAAGAAGAAGTCAAGTTCTAACAATCGCTCGGATAGAGTTCGAATTCGAATGATTTCATAAATTCTTTTGAAATCACACGAAAAAGTGAACAGTGCACGCTTGTGAATATAAGCAATGTTCTGTGCAATTATGACATGCAATTGTGAAAGTGCATTCATAACATAATGTGGATGTTTATTCGATCGCATCGCATTATTTATAACGTTTGCAGTACTTGCAAACGACCGATGTAACAAACTCTGTGCCAATCAGTCTAAACATTCAATAAATCATCAACCGTTTCAGCCAAATCCTCTTAATGAATCACCTAATTGGTTCGATAATATCAAGACCATTGCAAAGTTAGCATGCGCGACTGAACTTCGCTAAATGCTAAACTCCGCAAGTTTAGTCGGTTATCGTTTCATGTATGGACTGAGCTAGTTGTTAGTTTCGAATGTGAGCGTCAACTCATTTTGAGCATTTCGCTGAAATTGTCACCAGGACACGATCTCATTAATTGACTCGGTCAATCTCATTGAGTCATTCGAATTGTATAAGAAGTTTTGAGCTGTTGAAATTGAACGTAAATTTTGAAGACATGTCTATTGCTCGACCCAAATGGAAGGAAGATATATGACACTATATCGTTAACTGTTTAATTTCGACAAAAAAAACACAATATAAGGACGGAACATTTGATGTATCATTATATGATCTAGTCGTATAATGTTAAGATTGACAATTCATTTAATACGCCTCTTGCGTATGCATCATCCAATCCAGTAGCAAATCAATCATTCATCTGGAAGTGAATCCATTCATTTGTCCAGTATCACATGCGTCGCAAACATATCCACAACTACAACGTATAAAACAAGCAGTTCAGTCAGTCAGTCGTCCTCAATGCCTTCATATTGTGTTCATGATTCACTAAAAGAGTGGATGTTTATGTGACTATATCGTGTGGTTATATCATCGACAGCTGACTAACAATATCCATTTTCAATCAAACATTTAGCGATTTCCTTATGCGAATTATACGCGAAGGGTGGATTGACGTTGAAAAAGTGTTTTCGAATGAGTGTTTGGAGAATCAATATGCTAATAGTAATCGCAAGCACGAGTGAGTAGAATGCCATCGTAATGGCCACCAGAGAGTAACGGAACAATGCAGGATTATTGAACAGCGAGTATAAATTCGGAAATTCAAAAGTGCATCGATTTACTCTGAAGTTAATTTGGATGTTGAATTGTTGTTTATTTACTGAAATCAGCTGCTGTTTGATAGCAGCGGTGAAGCTGATACAACCGATGAACAAAAAAGCAACAGAAACGAAAGAATGTGAGCAAAACCATCTGCAATACCCACCCCATCCGTTCGCATAGACCAATAGCATCTTAATAGATCTGGTCATTACTATCGTAATTGCAATTCGATTTCATTTCATCTGTAGATCTGTTTATCCAATCCAGTCCAATCCAATCCCATCAGCTTCCCATCCGACCAGCATTATTATCGTTGGTATCTATCTGATTTATTGTTGTTTGTGCAAAACAAATTTAAGACATTCACCATCAAGACGTTATTGAAGATGCTCTCACACCCAGAGATTTTCGAGACGTTAAACGATTTGATTTGATCTCATTGAATTGCTCAGTTGATCGATCGATTAATTGAAGGAGAAAGCGGATGAATGTGGTGGCTGTGTGAGTTATTATCCGTGCTGTTAGTTGATTTTGCTCTGTTGTAATCCTCTTATTGTTATCATAATAATATATGTACATATTATGATTAGCGTTCATTCATTCGTCTTCTAACATTCTCAGACGCATTATATTTTCTTGCGAAGAGTTTGTTTGTAAGGTTGGCTTTGATGATCGATCGGTGGTTGACTGCCATCGTTTCAACAGCAATTCGGCAAATCGCTCAACGATATGATCAATCAATAATCGACAATGTGTGTGTTTGTGCATGAATGAATGATCATGTGTAATTTTATACACATGCATCATTTGTCGATTGCACGCACAGATAGATGTCTTATAGGTAAGTAGGATGTATTCGATATATGTCTTATAAATCATGTTTAATGGAAGGAAGTGATTTGACATCATATCATTGATTTTTAGAGTTGCTCGCATTATTGCTATTAATAGAAATGCATTGTCATGATAATGCTGTTGATTGGTTTATGATGAGCTGTGATGCATCCGATCGTAAAATGAATTCGTTTGGTTGGTTGGCCGATTGTTTGACGTGACTCAAACTCAGCAACAAATATTTTATTTGAAATGTGCTCTTTTGCGAGTGCGATGAAATGATTTTAATGAAACGTGAAAAGATTAGTGTGCAGTTTGATTTGATGATTGCAATTGTTCAACTATTCCAGTACATATCTCATATACCATCGATTCTTGCAGTGTTTGATTCATTGATTGATTTCGTTCAGTCATATTTGTAAACGTATTTACAGTCATCAGGATTTCGAGCATTTGCACTGAAATGAACCGTGTTATTTTTAGTATGATTGTTACCAGGATCTGTATTATTGTTTTCAGTATTCTTATCATCTGAGAACGATACTGCAGAGGACAAAGGCATCAAGATGATTTCTGAAATTTAGTTTGTTAATTTTATTCACGAAGAGGTTAGATGTTTGTGGTTGTTGTTTGGTTGAGGGTAGTTATTGACTGACGGATGGATGGTTGGATTTATTGGTAGAATCGTGGAATGGTTACGTTGATTGATTGCTACGTTCGAGTTTCGCCTTGACTGGTTTTATTTGATGATTTTATTCACTCACACGTTGATTATCTGTGTTGAAACGTTTCATTAATCTTTTTTATGTAACTTCGATATAGCCTACAACAATTTTTTATGCTTGAAATCCCAAATGTTGAAATCTAGGTAATTTGTTATGCGGCATTCAAATTCTGACCTTAGTGTGTCAGCCTGTATGGTGTGATTTGATCTCAATCATCAGTATAGTCACCTAGAGCCGCTCAGATTCGATACATGTATCGCATTCTATAAGAAATATTTTTATTACGATGTGGCAAGAAGATATTATTCGAGGAAAATTTCTTTGCATAGCAAAGAATTGAACAATTCGAAGGAAAATGCAAATAGATTATGTCACTCATATGCTCAATTCTGCAATGAAATACTTTGTCGTGACTTTATTCGCAGTCTGTTCTTTGTTTGGTTTTGGTACAAGTCTTCATCGAAGTCAGTTCATTCGAATTGTGCATTGCATAACAGTACCTAACGTTCACTTTCTATCAATTTTTCATAATCCTCACCATGAGAAATACATCAGATTCTGCATCGAATGTTTATTTTTTCTCCATTTATCAACTTAAATTGTACTGAAAACTTAAGGTTCTCAAGCAGCTATTTCTTGACAACTAATAGCGGAAGCGTTAAAAACTGTGCGTTGATAGTGGGATAGTGGATGACGATAGTCTGAGGATTATCTTTTTCTTGATATATTACAGAATGCTTTTTCCTTCATCGAATTTCTCTGCTTGTTTATCCGGGAGGTTTGATGGGTTTGTCTAACGAAATTTGATCGAATTGTCCTTATGAATAGTTAGTAGTTTCAAACGAACTTTCATTTTACTTGATACGCTTCCATTGTTTATAATTTTTTCTATTTCTGTTTGGTTTCAATGTCCACCCAACGATTCATTAACACATTTTCCAATTTTAGTTTATTTTATGAATGATTTTGCAGGAACAAAAATTATTCATTCGATCGTCTGTTCCATGAATCAATCGTTTGCCACAATGGATCATATTACAGTCTCACTAACGATAACAGTTTCGCATTCAGATGGCTGATTTCGTCTAGATACATCACTAGTATTGCTGATATTCATATAAGATGAATGGTGTTTTGCATGCACAGCTCAAACTGTAATCTGAAAATGTTTGTTGCTACAACAAAAATGATTGCAGCAAACCTCGTCAGCCTTATCACTTGTAATGTTCATAATACAAACTGCACTGATAAAACTCAGCAATGTGCTAGACATTCATTCAATATGGAGTATTCTTAACTTGATAGCCTTCGATCCGAAAGCAGTTTTTGTTGCCATCGAGAAGCAATAATAAACCGAGAAGTTTTGAATTAATAAATTTTTCCGGAAAAAATATTCTCTGAAAAAAGTCAATAAAGTTGCATTTTGTACGTGGAAATGCACTACTGCTCATCATTCTCACTCATAAACACGAAAAAAAAACTGATCACCACATACGTAGTATTGATGAAATGAATTTTATCCAGTTTTGTTTCAATTTGCCGTCTGCTGCAGGTTACTCATTCCATCAATTCGCTCGCTGATCTTGGAAAATAAATGTCATTTTTACGAATTCGGTTCATTTATTTTGTCTGATTGTTAGTTCCGACTAGAGCAAAAAAAATTGATTAATCCATTCACTCATTGTACCACTCTCACGTATTTTTCTAAACAAAATCTTTCATCGCAAATCTTTCACGGCTTGTGTATTTTTGTGCGATATTCAATGTTGTACCATTGCTAGCAGCTGTTGCTGTTGTTTTTTTTTCTGTACCGACTACTCCAGTTTTCTCATCGTTTCTTCAGTTGATATTACTCGCTTTCTTGAATCGTCACGTTAAGCCGCTCTGTTAAGATAATCTCACCCGTTGTTGTTTCAGTCAATTATTAAGATGTGTTCTGTGTTTGAAGTTATTTTCGAGAAGTTTCGCTTGCAAAGGGTCAGATGTTCAGTCTGAGTTGACTGGTTAAAATATGAAATTAACCAGTCGTCAATCATCAGTTATTCAATAGTGAATTTGATTTGCTTAAGTCAATATTGGTTGAGTTTGTATAATGCTCTCTGAATTCTTATTCAATCCAATTGACGTATTTCCAGTCTTCTCTAGATAAGGCAGGCCTATCACCTGTCCCTTTCTGAATGCTTTCATAAAATTGCACTTGCACAAATCTTTTGCAATTTCGTCGTTGATTCTGCGTTAATTTTCGACTGAACTGTTGCATTTCTGTTTTGTGGATTCGACGATGATCGTTCTTTCGGACTACTTCAAAAATTTTTGATACATTCCGAGGAATTCACATAAAACAAATCGATCAGTTGACTTACTTGTTTCGTTCGCAAATAATAATTTGATGTCGTTTTTCTTTTGGTTCGTTGGTTCACGCAATAATCAATTATAATAATTGCATGAGTTTCGTTTCAATTTTATTGTGCGCCTCACACGTGCCGACTTCTTTTGTCACTCATTTATGTATGCATTCATGAGTGACTTTTGTTCAAACTATTTTTCGTCTCATTTGAAAATCGTCCCATCTGAGAGAAAAGTAAAGAGAATGAATTTCTCTTGTGGATTTAAATAAATTCGTCAATCCGCCATTCAAATTGATTCAATTGAATGCATCGTTGTTCGATGCATTGTATGCTTCAATGTCAGCCGTCAGCGGATACCTGATCTTAATATGCATCGTTTTTGTTGTCCGTTCGGCGAATCGAATCAAACCAATTGAATTTGGCTGAATTTCGGTTGAATCTCCTCTGAATAATCACTTACTTAAAATTCATCTTCAATTTCAGAAGAGAGAGAGGAAAAAAACAAGGAATCGTGAATTGTGTCGTTCACAGTTGAGAGCAGCAACCAAAAAGAATTTGCATCATCGAAATGATCTGATCTGAGATGAGTTCGAAGCATGTGTAATCTATGACACTTACTCCAGTTCAAATCGATACTTTATTCGCATTCTGAGCACAATTATTCCGAGCATCTTACTTATTCGGCTGCTATAAAATTTGTGGCGTTTCTGAATCCGCAATTAACTGTGTGTTGACATTGTGACGACTGCGTTCATTGAACACTGGTTATTGGTTGTTTGTTGATGGAAATTTTGTTGCTGATTTTGAGTGCACAAAGCCTATTCAATGTGCAAACGAAATCAGTGCATGTTCATAAATAACACTGGCATTATCATCTACAAACCGCAATACTCACCCAACCAGTCATCACTTTTAACACAATATCGCGCATTATCACTGTGAATCGTCATTATCACAAATTTTCCAAGTCACATCATTATTGTTGCTGCCGCCTAACCTGCAAAACAAATCACTGTGTGCAGTAATTCTCGTCTGATTACGGACGTTTCGATACGAAACTGCAACAGCAAGACAGCAGCAAAAGAAATAGAAACCGTGAGCAATAAATGATAAATAATTATCAGTTAAATACTAGGAATTACAAGTGCAGTATAAGTGATCTGCCAAATGAACTGATATGGGTGCATATTGCTCATTGCTCTTATCACTGTTACTGCTGATCGTAAGGCGTTCATTCATTCATGTAATTGAAAGCAAACAGCACTAGCTCTGCTTGATGAGTTCTGTATTTTTGTGTTTCTTTTACACATCAAGCCAATAGGTGATTCAAAACAAGTGGAAAAGAATGGCTGTAGCTAAATACTTTGGTGAAGAACGATTGCCAGACGCAGTGTATGCGGTATATCTACGCAAAGTAAGATATGTGGCCGCACCAACTTCCCATTACGATAATGTCATTCTACCTGTAAGTGGCTCTCATTTTATGCCTTCTAAATTCACTTCACTTCTTCCTATGGTTTTCTCAACAATTACTTACAAAGTCTCTACGCACAAAGGTGCCGATAAAACGCTTCTGTGAATGAGCCTTTTGAATCAGTCAATTAGTTGAATAGTTTGGATGAATGATGAATCGATTTGAAAGATTCTTTTTTTTGGCGACAGGAGTGAAAATTCCTATTGCATGACATGCTTCGTGCCTCAAGCACTTGTCAGGACGATGGTTTGCAACAAAGATTCGCTGAAATTTCTGATGGTTTAGGTGAAGTACGGTGGAAAGGGGAGGCACTTCATTTTTGTACCGTAATACGAAAGCATCTATTGAGGTTGATATGAAGGGTTGTCGGAGAACATTGAGACAAATGGGATTTTCAAAAAAATGTTTTCTTTTGGAACAAATGAGAAAATTAGAAATATGAAATTTTTAGTGTATAAAATGTCGAGTTTAAAAACTTTCATTGGAATGTTCTATAGAGAGTCAGTATTGACTAAGACTGTTATCAGCTGTTATTCATAAATATCACTCATAAACATTCAGACGTTTCTTTGGTTGCTAGGAAACAGAAAAATTAGTGAGCATTTTTGATGAATCATATCTGAACGAGGAATTTCATTTCGGGAACAGATAAACTTTTGTAATAGTCAAGGTTATTTATGGTTTAGGAAGAAATTATTGGCATGACGATGCCTTGTGGGTTTGCTAATCACCTAAACATGATTACCCATAAAATGTATGAAGATAGTGGACGTTTCAAATAGTATGACTGCGTGCTGAATCAATTTTATTGAGATTGTTGTCCTTGTAGGTATTATTCATTCTAAGGCAATTCCCTGACTCATTTGTTGACAAATAGGAATGAATAAGAAGAATGAAGCGCCTCTGCTCAAAAACATTCATAGTTCGCTGATAAGTGAGTTGTTGTGGCTGAACAGAATTTCATTAAAATGTGAAACTCACCTGCAGTCATTCGAATTAAGGTTAGGTCCGAGGCGCAGTTGGGCCCAGAGGTGTCGGAGACAGATTTTAGGTAACATTCTATGCAGAAACCTAAAACTTTTTGAAAACATCCACTGCAAACTGAATGGTTTGTGGATTATCACATATTTCACGTTAGAAGCTTTTATAGAGATCGTTTTTGATGTTGAAACAAAGAATTCAAATTCTTTTTTACTTCTTATTCCAAACTGACCGACCTATCATCCTTGTGATGATTCGTCAGTGAAGGTCTTGTATATACCAGTTGTTTTCGGCTCTCCGTAAAGAAGGATCACTTCCAGTAATGTGCCACAATAACTCCTAGGAATGACGTTTGTTTTGAGATGAGAATAAATACTGTGATACTATTCATGAACACTTCAATATTTGCGTTTGAACGCACTTCTGAACAGATTAATTCACGAGATTTCCGGTTGTAGGTGGGATCATTCGTCAATCTATCATTCATATTACGTCAATCCATTGTTGGAAGTAAAGTAAATGTTGTTTGTTGAGTCACGAAAACTGCACAGTAACTGAGTTTGAACACTTCCTTGTGCTACCACGTGACAGACCTGGTTTATAAGCGTCATCGTTGAGAAATTACTAGCCTATATATAAGGTGGGTGCGCCGTTAATGTTTAGTAGCACCGATATAGGTAATCGCAAGTAGTGGTCGACATTTTTAGTACTGAATGCGTTGAGATTGTTGAATTTATTGACAACTCTCATCCATATCTGGCCAGACAGATTGATTTCATTTTAAAGTGATCGTTATTCATTTGAAAGATTAGTTATTGAGATTAGTGTTATTGTCATGTCGATAATCCAATGCAATGTTTTTGGTTTTTCGAACAAAAAGGACAATTTTCATTGCATTTTTGAGAGGTGATGATGAAAAAATTTTTTTTGCGCTTTAGCGTTATCGAGTAGTCGATCGAGACGATCAGCAGCACTCACTGATGGCACCCGAAGTATCGGAAGATCATTTGCAGTGGGAGACGATCCGTGAGCGTGTGATACGTTGTGGTACCATCGAAAGGCTTGTCGTAAGCATATTCATCATTGCAATTCAGTGATACCACTGTGATAGTCAGACAAAACACTGAAATTCACCTCTATGAAGTCGTTTGTTCAGTATGGAGTTCGAGAATGAGTGATCACCACTTTCAGGAATCACTCATCGGTAGCGATAACACGATGGATTCTCGGCAATTCAACGTCTTCTTTGCCACTTATAGAGCGTTCTCGAATTGTGCTGTGGTGCTTGACCTTCTTCTGAATCGTTTCGATTCTCTACAATCCAAAGAACACGAATCTACCGGAGTGATAATGAACTCTAACGATATCGCTATGCAAAAGTAATACTGCTCTTGTAGAAGAATTACCATTTTACAAGCCGAGTGCATAGTTGTAAACATACGAATGAGTTGCTGCTGAACGTTCACGATCCGAAAAGCTGTTCACTTCGAGTTTATCAAAAGGACCAATAAAATTGATGATCGTTTGCGGTTGCGATTCGAAATTACCCGCTGAATTTCAGTGCGATTCGATCGGTGCTGTTGTGTTGGTTGGATATGTATCCGGAAGATTTCTACGAGCCGAATACAGATTTTGTATCGCTGATGCGACTCACTGAATTCGCTCGAGTCAACAACATCACTGATATCCGATCGAAAGCGAAACGATTGCGGGAAATGTATAAGAGAATTGCAAATGAGGGTGGTCTTATTGGTGAGTGAGCACAATCGTGTGAAGTCACTGAAATAGTCTAGGAAACTTTTTGCAGTGTTCAATCGTGCACGAATCTTTCTCTCCTCTAACAATGTTTCGTGAACGTTCAATGTGATGGACATGAAATTTGTAGTTTTTCGTTTGGATTATTACTGCGATTCGAATTGAAGGAAAGCCACTTAACGAGTGGATAAATTTTGCAATCGTGATCTTTTGAAAAGTTTATCTGAATCTCAAAAAAGTTCTGCTTCCAGCTCAAATCCCATCAATGGATCAGTACGTGTTCAGTCAGGGCTATGATCGCAATAATTATTTGAATTGTTTGGAACGTGCGAAAATGTTCGATGTTGGAAAAGAGAACTGCGTTCAGATCGCTGAACAGCTCACTTATTGGGATGCTGTAAGTAGTGATCTCATTCTGCGTGTTCTTCGAAGAAATGAACATTACTACCTATCAAATTTACTACCAATCTATTCGGAAATTTCGATTAAATTATTTTATTACACCGAAAATTCCACCACTAAATGGAATTTCATTTAAAGGAATTATTCAAAGAATTATTACCTCAACAATGCCAAGGATGTGTTTGGTCGAAACGGCGAAGGAAAGGCCCTGAAGCAGTTTACAGTGTTCGCGCCACAATCGATCAGGTACACCCGTCTGGTTTATGTCTCTGAGCTGCAACGAATGTCTTCATAAGTGAAACACAATCGTAGCCGCGAGATTGACCTCTGGCAATTCGATTGAGAAGGGTATTTCGGCAATTTCCTCGAAGTGACCACAGGATATAAGCGGTCACTGATGATATCAGAAGTGTTCTTTCTGCAATGAGGATGTTCTTTCAGTTCAATGCCGTTTCACAACGTGTTATGACGAGCGTCGTGCTACCGGATTGTCGAGCAGACTTTCGTTCGAAAATCATCAGCAAATGGATTGATATTGCAAGGGTGTGTTTCCAATTGTATCAGGTGACAGAGTCGGATATGGAAATGTGACAGTCAAATTCACTACCCATTCAAGAATGTGAAGCTGTTAACTAATGAACACTTTTTCAATTAGCAACATCGACGAATTTCCAAACAAAACGTGGCAAACTTCATCGTTCACTATTTTATTAATCGATACAATCGAATTGTGGGTGCGATAATAAATTATTCGTCATGTTTCAGGAGCTGAGAGCGCTGAAAAACTTCTCTTCGCTAAAAGCCGTAATATCGGCTCTTCAGTCTGAACCCGTTTATAGGTTAAAGGCAGCATGGGCTTTGGTACCTTCGTGAGTACTTTATTATTAATTCATGCCCTTCAAGCTTCAGTAGCAATGCTGCTGTTCATTTCATCACTGAAGGCCCCACACTGAACTCGTTTTTTCTGTGGAAAAATCGCTCTGTAAACTTCATAAAATGTCTTCATAAAATGCGCAATTAATCACTTCAAAGTATCTCCACCGATTGTAAACCCGTATCGAATATTACTCGAAAAGCTGCCTATGACCGACTTTGTTAAGTCCGAAGCATTTATCACCTGAAATTGAAAACCTTTCAAATTTGCAATAGATGATTTCTGCATAAAAGTTATGAAATTTTCCCGATTTAGTGGATCGATGGCTCAGTTTCAAGAGTTGGCGTCAATCTTCGAAACCGATGATGATGGTGAAGAAAAACGCGCAAGGCGGATTTTGGACGAGGTATCCGCACTACCTCATCATTTCAATGTGCGCCTCATGAATAGCAACGTTCCAATAGCATTCACTAGTTTTGATCAGTCAAATTGAATGCACTATATAGTCAGTGATTGTGTGGTTGGATACCTATGAGTTTCCGAGAGATATTTTCTTGTTTAGGTGACAGCTAATTCGTTACTTGAGCACATACAAGTGAACGTGAAGTTCTCTTACCGACCAACATCAAATCTTTTCAGGAAGGTACAGCAAAAAGTTCCCCACTGCGTCGTCCACAACTAATCCAAAATTGTCGTCGCACAAAAAGTGATGTAAACTTAGCTGAATCTCAAGGTACCGTACCATATTTGGGAAGTTTCTTGACCGATCTCGCAATGATCGATCAAGCACATCCGGATTTCACGGAAGGTTAGCAATTTCGAATGCTTTCGTGGAACATAACTAATTTTTTTGCAGTGTGTTGACTAAAGTCTGAATTGAATCTGCCTTAATCGGTAGTGAGTTTTTTTCATGTCCTTGTTGTGTTTACTCAACATGGGATCTGAATTCTACAATCGACGATTTTTTCAATTGTGTACCGCAGTCAGTGAATTCGAGTTAAGAATTGATTTCAGATGGTTTGATAAATTTCGAGAAGAGGCGTAAAGAGTTTGAGATAATCGCCAAGATTCGATTGTTTCAATCCGCTTCACGCGCTTACACAATACCGATGGATCCTGCATTCTGTTCATGGTTCTACTTCTTGCCGTCATTAGACGAGAATCATTGGTATGTTATTGGATGGTATTTTCGAATGTTTGTTGTGCACATATGCTACTAAACAATACTGCCAGATTGCAGTGTACCGAATAAATCTTTTTGAATGGTAATCAATCGAATGAATCTAACTTGAATGATCTTCCACTCATATTTGTATCATAATGTTGTAGTGGTGGTGGACTAAATCAACTACTCTATCACCATTTACCATGATCGAAGTTTCAGTTTCGCAAGGTCGCTGGAAGTGGAACGACCGTTGACGATGTCTTCGGATAGTAAATCAAAATCGATGTCGTGTCCTGGATCAAATAAAATGTTTGTCCTCATTCTATGTTTGCAAGAGGCATCAGTTATTTTGTTTCTGAAGTTTTCTGATTACTCTGTTACTGTATGAACGAAAACTGCTGTAAATTTTCATTCCATTTTCAAATGCGATGATCTCATTTAAGGTACGTCAAAATTTTTCGATGCTCTCTTCATAGTTCATGTAACGTCCTTTGCTGAGTAGTCTGTGGAACAGTTCTGAACATTATTACATAGGCAAAGTGCACAATGCCGTTGCTATATTGTGTCGTTCTTAAGAAGTAATCACGGTTTGATTCGTTCCTTCAGAAACACTCTGTCTCGTCTGTTCGCTACAATGAGTCCGGATGAGGCAAACGGCAACAGCGGGAACCCTAACGATAGTCAATTCGGTGGACAACTCTCCAACGACTCTGGCATCGCCACAGAGGATTCTTGGGTATCTGAAGCTTGCATGGCACGATCACATCTGGATAAGCCGAGCGCTTTCACTATTGGACCGTACGGAATGCATAGCTCAAAATCGTTCACGTCGCCTTCAACACCTGCAAATAGCGTTTCATGGAAAGGAGGTCAACCACTTCTTAATCTATGGAACCTCTTGCTCATCTTAGAATACCTTTCGTTGGACTCTGTGAAATTTTATAATAATGAAAATGTGCATTAATTTCATCTGAACGGTAGGATATAAGGGTCGTGAGTGGGATGGGATCGCAATTTCGATGTGTCACTCAATAGAATCGCGATATATTTGAATGTGGGAAATTTCAATCTGTTAGAAGATTCCTTTTCAGAATTTCAATTGAATCGAATGATTGAATCATTCGCTCAGACTATCTTTGTACAAACGATCCTTCCCAGAAAAAAAATCTCACAAAACAAAATTGTGAATGTGAATATAATGATATGTATCAATTTTATGTGACATCTTGCTGATTCCAGAAGAAACATTCAGTTTTAACAATGCCTATTTGATATTTTAAATTAAGATTGGTGAGGAGAAGAAGAACCATCAAACAGTTTTTCGAAAAATGAATAATCATCCATTCAGTTATTTTCGTTTTGTGCCAATTTCCTGAATTCTCACTTTTCATCACATAATGGTGTTTATAAGCGACTTTTTTGAGCTGTGAATGTCAAATTTTCCGTATCGTGCGATGGTTGCCTAAACACTACAACCTTGAAAAAGAGAAATGATCGTAATTCAGTAACCATTTGTGGTGCATCGCGCATACCAACGCAATTGTGGCCTTCGGTTGCCGAGTAAACTCAAAGATCTTCATCATTATTTCAAAATGTCTTGGAAAGCTTCATTGTCAATCGAATTCAGGTTGTGAATTTAGTCCAAGTTCGTTATTTACGCATCAGTTGACACCAAGCAGTTCATCGAGTAAACATCCCAGTGAATCCCTTTCACACTCATCCACTGCGACTACGAACGAGTTTCTCGTAAGTTTCGTTACTAATTCCAACCAGTCTAATTTGTATTTCATGGTACCAATAATTACCTCTTGTGGTATTTGTTGGTCGAAATATGACCATTTCGCATGCCTCATATTCGAAAATGAATGAGCTCATGAATGGATGTGTTGATAGAAGAGTCCATGATTCAGGTATTGTATTTCAAGTGTACCTCTAAATTGCCACTTAGAAACCGATCAATTGTACTCGATTGTAAACGGATCAATAAATCGATCACTAAATAAATAATTCGTGATCGATAAGGGTCACTTCACTTGATCGGTATCGCTCTCATCGAACAGTTAGATATCTAGAAGTATTTCTGCTCACGAATCGTCCCATTTATCATCCGTTCATTAACCGTTATGGTGCGTTCATTCGAAGAATGTTCACTTTTAGTTGTAAAAGTTGTCATCTTTCAATGAACTCTTCGCTGTAAATTCCTATTTGCATTCATTCTTCATATCTGTGTAAAAGTATCCTTTCTCTTATTTGTCACATCTCTTTTAACCATAAACTTTCGTCGATTACTGCAAATTGCACAAAAATTTTATATTTTATACCGAGTTTTTGTAACAATTCAGCGTGATCAACGCTGACAGTGTGTTGTTTTATCCACTAAGTACAACTTGAAAGAAAACGAACAGTGTGCACTAGAGAATGCTATCAGAAACTTGTTAATTGGTGTGTCGAGTTTTATAACATGAATGAAGAAGTTGATCGAGTATTTCTTCGTCATTCCCACCTCTGTTAAGTTCTGGGCAGCAAGTTAAAGAAGTGGACAGTTGACCTAATAGTTACCCTCATCGCAATGGTTGACCGAACTGAATCTTTAAGTGCTCTCCGAATTATTTGATAAAATCTACTTCAAATCATTTTTACTTTCTATAAAATTGCGCAGTTATGACGAGAATAAATTAGTGATTATACACTCTGAATTGTGGCATGAAACAACCTAAGGCATCATTATATTATCGACACGAGTGTTTTCGAAGTTAGCGTTTAGGTAAAATATTCCGCTGCAAATGCATTCGGCCATTAGTGTTGTATTTTGGATTGAATTCATTTGAATGTGTTATTTGATTCTGAATGATATGTGAATATGGAATTGTATTCTGACAAAACAGGATACATTTATATTCTTTCAGAATAACGCTTTACTGTCGAGACGAACTGTAAGCGCATCATGTGCGATGTCGTTGAACGCAGAGAATGGTAATAATAGCCTACAACGGCATGCCAGTCCGAATGGACAAGTCAGTGAACACATTATTGTTAATTGTCAGTACTGCGCACAGGATTGCTAGTTCCCGGAATTTAGCTTAATAAAAGCGACATGAAACGCATGAAGGCAAACTTTTAGCTGAATGCCTTGAGATGTTCTAAAACTATAGACACCAAACTTTCACATGAACAGTTTGCGAGCTCGTAGTTTTGCTGCGAAAGCAAATTTCAGACAATAGATTCCTCAAAAAAGTAGTTTTGAAGAAAAGAATAAAAACTGATGAGGCTAACGCCATTTTCGGCTGAAGATATTCTTTGCTGAGCTCTCGCGCTATTGCACTCAATAGGATGATCGGATCTCACCGTCGCCAATTGCAGACCAGAAATCGTTCATACCATAGTGACCTTCTTTCTCTGAAACAGCATCAACCTGCCGCCTTCCACCTAGCACGAGTCGCACTCGACGATTCACTTCAGATTGGTAGTGCGGCTACAAACTACAAATGTATAAAGGTAAAGCAAGAATCCAATCTCAGAATCATACATTTTGCAGAATTTTCGTGAGTGCTAAACAATCTTCATTCGAAATTCATTCTGTAAATTTTTCGACGACTCATTTGTCTATGTACATTACGGCTGAATATCAGTTGGCAATGATAGTGCAAGGATTTAAGGTGGAGAACGGTGATCGTATGAGTAGCCTTATCGATAGGGTACTTGAGAAACACCTCATTAATGGTGAGTCGTCGGAATTCTGCCTTGTACAGCTTCTTCCCGACGGATGTAAGTTTTTCATCATTTACTTGCCCGTTTTCATTTTCTTAACTATTCAGCTGCGGAACTTTGCGCTGCCCATATACGTCAACAGCAATCAAATGCGTGAATTGATTAGCACAAATTACCTTCATTCGTTGAATGAAACGGTCCTCGCTTAAGCTGAGCTATAATCATGAGTTGTGGTTGAATTCCATTCGTATTAGAGGCACTCATATGTGAACTTCGACTACAAGTTATTGGAACTCTCGGGGATTGCTACACTGTCACGAACTTACACTTAGTTTTCATTACGTGAAAAGAGATATAATTTCAATATCCTATTTCTTTTAAAGTTGGTTCTGGTCAATACATTCTGATACAGTGTGGATGAAGGCGTTTTTCAGGTGAGTTTCAATTACCCGACAAATGCAATCCCTATTATGCAGTGGCGCCAGATCCGAATTCACCAATGTTGAGTTTCGTGTTGAGGCGACGCGCGGATAGTGATTCGCACTCGGGTGTAACCTCTATGGCACCATCGGTCAAAAAATTGAATCGCATGAAACGCAGTAATTTATTGAGGTGGAGCTCTGGTTATTTGTGAAAACTTTGAAGTTTTGTCGTGTGTGGAAATTTATTCAGAAATTTAGAGTGAATGCACTTGCGTGATATGTTCAAAATGTTTAGCAATCAACCAATCACTTTGCAAAGTGTAATTATATCAGCATATCTGTATCATAAAATTTGGCAAACTAAATATTGTTGAAAATGCGTTTCGCAAAGTTCAAAAATAACGCAAACTCTTTGATGTAAATCATTTGAGTGAAATTAATGCCTTCTTGCTGCTGTCAATACAATCTCTTATCAGTTTTGTTCGTGATAGTATCTTCGTGATATTTGTGTTCCGATTGTTTCTGTGAAATATTTATTTATTTATTTGATTAGTTAGTTAGTGTTCTTTGAAATTTGAATTGCGTATGTTGTTCATAGATGCGAAACGATCGACGGTGCTTTTTGGATGTGGATGATTTAAGTTCTGTGAAGTATTGTTGTTTGCGTTTCTCACGATCAGATTATAATTAATTTATTCTCAATATAGTTATGGTATGGTTATTGTAGTTAGAATTGTTATTTCAGTATTTATTATTACTATTGTCGTTCTTTAATAATTGTCTAGCATCACCGTGCTTATTGTTTGTAATGTAGAACAACTTCTTCTTCGGTACTGTTGCCTTATCGTATTATTTTTTTATCATATTTTTCGAGGATATTCCGATTTTTTTGTCTTTTCAAATTTGAGTTGCAATTATTCAATAATTTGTCGAGACTTCTCGAAGAACAAGCGATACGAATTCTGTTTTTTCTTTCCAAATCCATAGACTAAATAGAATTATTGAACTGAATTCAAATATGACTGCAATATAGCATAAGTTTCTGGCATATAACTAAAGTGGTGATGTTCGATATTGCCCAAAGAAATCACCGACACTCTACACCCTTCTTGTGTTAAATCAGTCCTCCATTTTACTCGGTATGTGATATTCATAACGCGACAAAATGTCATAATCGCTCAACGAAGTTGCCTTGTTTTTGTTCTGCTTTTCCGTGAATAAATGATACAATATCGCTATAAAATTATTCTAATCTCTCATTAATTAAAACTGTGAATAATTCAGATATGTGACTGCTAATGTTTGGCATATAATAAAGAATTGCTGCGATTATTTTACATTCAAAATGTGCAGATGATCGAAATGCTGAAAGACCAAAAAATGACCGTTGAAATGAATGCGCTTCAAACCAGTGATCTTCGATTGCTTCACATTCGCAAAACAACTACAGTTTGGTTCAAGCGCGTTAGCAATAGCAATAGCATGAATAGACAGACAACAGTCAATGATAACAATAACAATGGTGTGTTCATGTTTACAAATTATCGAGTAACAATTGTCATTGAAATAGACATGTGAGGATGATCAGTCGCGATAACCGGTTTTGGTGGGCTACGAAACGTTGATATTAGTGGAGTAATTGTGATTTGACACCAATTATTCGCTAATGATAATAAATTAATACTGTCATTTGGTTGTTTACTAAAGAATACTAATGAAATAGATCGATTGTTATTTTAATTTGGTTCGTATTTGTCGACTTCACACATTACAACACGTTGAATATAAAGAATACACAATACAACATGCTGAATATGAAAGTAACTTTTCAGAATAATCTTTCAGTCGATAAAATTTTTCTCGAATGAAAATATATTTCACAAGCACGGGTCTGATAAGCTTTTGTGCACCAAATGCAAGTTTCTGATTGAACATCCGTAACAGAAGTTTCGTTTCATGAAAGTGACTGAAATTGGCACAAATAAGCTAATCCGTTTAGACTGGTGGACGCAGTCAGCTTACTCAAATCATTTAAGCCAAGGTGTATGAATACTTTAAAAGTGAATTCTTTATGACTACTATCAAAAGTGTGTTATCACTCCTACACAAAAACACATCCTAACTTGATGCATTGACTAGATTGCTTCATTTATTGTTTTGATACTTACGACTTAATGAAAATATAAAGTGGAACGGTTATTGCCTGTTATTAGTAGAGTATTTTGATAAAAACATGTCTATCAAATTATTCTGTATCATTCTGATTAACTATAATTAGATCAATGATCAACACTATATAAGCATCGAATAGTTTGCTAGTCACTACAAGCATTTTGAATTGAGCTTTTGAACATCAGTCACGATGGTGAGCTGTTTTGGATAGCAGCTTAACTCATTATCTGGCTAGCAACGCTTTATTTAGCCTAATGTTTAGATTCATCCTTGAACGTATGTCCTCCTTGGCTGTCGCGAGCAAATTCAATTGTAAATTTCTTGTGGATAACTTAAGAACATATTACAGATGCAATATGGTTCTTGCTTGTTATTTTACCATTCTGTTGTTCATAAAATAGAGATCATCTATGGAGATCATAAAAATATCAGTCTCACTCTGAAGAGCATCGTGATCAAGAAACTAGGATCTTGCCGCTGAGATATGAAGAATGTGGCTGAAGTCCCATGTTAATCATCGAAATATTTAATATATAGCGACGCTTTCACGAATTTTGTCGTTAATCGAGCAGTTTTTGGATTTTGTTATCGAGAATGCTCTGTTTCAGATGAAGATACTGTTAGTGGTTTTGCTCTTTACTGCGCTGTTGGCTTTAACGTTTGCCGCCGAGGCGGAGGATACATGGGTGGATATGGGTGAAGGAAGCGACACACCGTGAGTTATTCGAATGCCTTTCATTCGGAAGTATCGCTGAGAAATTATATTCTGAAATGAGGCAACGTTCTGAACTGCAAACCAACTCATTCCGATGTAAAACGAGCATAATTTGTTGAATTAGTGACGTAAAGAAATTTCATGGGATCTGAATTGATTTGTTTGATAAGCAAAGCGCGCGATCGACTCGTGAATATGAGATCAATTGCAAACTGTAAAAAAGAACCAAATTAAAATTAATGACCTATAGTTTCATTGTTAATCATCATGAAGCATCACAAACATGTGATTCTTTATGATTCATTAGTTCCTTCGAGAATATTTTAATATCGTATCACCCGAACTCGTCTAAACGTCAACATTTGAACTTACAGAAGTCGTATGAAACGCTGGTGGGCCGCCGGAGGAGGTTTTCGTCGTCCATGGCGACGACCATGGCGCCCATACTGGCGCCGTCCTTACTATTGGGGTTGAAAGGGAACGGATGAGACGATGCTATCAGTCTAATGTGGTTGTTCAAGAAACTCGCCACTCTGATTCGTGCTGATGGTACCTTGTATACACGATGTATTATAATACCCTATGAATCAAATTCATTCATGAATAAAGATCAGTATTTCTCTATCGATCACCAGTCACACTGAACCTTACACTTCACTACCTGAGTAATTCGCATTATCTGATTTCCCAACGACTCGATGCAACTATCGTTTGTCTGTACGCAAATAATAATAGTAATAATAACAATAGCGATACCGATAAAAATCACAAAACTAAAAATAATAATACAATGGTAACATATGGTATCTTACAGTCAGTCGTAATCATCATGGCAAGACCATTGCTATCGAACTGTCTTTGTATGCTCATTATTCCAAGCACTCATTTCATTGAATCGTTTTTCACACTGAAACAAATGATAAATACAATGGCTCTCATTCACTATAAAATTATTATAGCACTATAGGGATTACCATCCTCAAGTTACGGTACTCTCAGCTTTACTCGGTGACACATGAACTTCTCTATACCATTCGATTCCTCAGGACCTCTAGATTCAGAATATCATATATTTTGCCGACCAATTCTGCTTACATGACGAGATATAGCAATTTCCTTGAAGCTATCTCGACTAGCTCAGTGGCGCTCAGTCACGTACATTATATCACTATAGATCAATGTATACACGACTATAGCACTATAGGGATTACCATCTTTAAGCTGCCGGTACTCTCAGGTTTGCCCAGTAAGATGACAATTTCTTCACATCATGAGAATCCTCAGATTCTCTTCTTTTACAAAAGTATACATGCTTACATGGAGAGAAATAGATGATTTTCTGAAGGGAACCCACTTTCTCGGCATCGTTCATTTAAATACACTACATCTCTGTTGATCAATCTGTGCACTAATTTAAATGTGCATCACATTTTCTTCCCGAAACTTTTCAGTGCTCCTGAATCTGTGCAGATTCTTTCGCTGGATTCCTGTCGATAGAACGTGAAAACGAATTGCAAATTATCATTTAAATATGAGCTCTTGTATAAAATTCAGTGTACATTTCGCTTTATTAAACAATTGGTCACCTGACAGGGTGTCAGCAAATGAGCAACGTTCACCCAACTCAAGGTCGTGTCTTCCAAAAACTGATCCTCTAGAGCTGCTAAAAACTGTTTATGCCGCTGAAAACAAAATTTGTTTTGTCATCTTATTTGGCGAACTCCTTCCAAAATATGTCAACAATTGATGTCGCAATTCTAGGTTATTTACCATTTTTGCAATGACACCATTATTGTGGTTGGATTGATGATGAAAAACATTTGGTGCTTGTTGGAAAGTGGAAATGCGCTATGGTGACTGATGATCGAATGGAAATCAAATAGTACGAGAAATTTTTCACTCTTCCAAAATAATCAAAGGAATTTGGCGAGGGCAGTAATTGAACAAAATTCTGAATTTATGCATGGTGAAACAATAACATTCGACAAATATCAACATTTACTACGTAATCGAGCCGATTTTTAGGAATGTCTCAATTGCGATTCGTTGTTTTCGGGCAACAATCGCCGTTTTTGAATCAGAAAACGTCATTCTTGAGTAAGCGTAAAAACGATTTCGATCTTTTGCTTTGCTTTGATTACTGCAAACAATGAATTACGATGCTGATTAGTTTGTTTACGATTCGCGACACTAGGAATTCATATGAAAGTGCATAGTAATGCAGCTTTAACATCTATTCAGTTCGGTTGTGATTTACAAGTACAATGTTTGTTTCATTTGCTCTGAATTTTTCATAAAAATGCTTTCTCATAAAGCGGTTTACTTTGTCCCATCGAGAACAAACTCACAATAATCTTGCAGTTCTAACAACCATCAGCAAGCATTTTTGTGACCGTTTGGGGAGCCAAAGCTACACCAGTCATCTCCTATGGTTAAAGGAAACATTTCGGTATGCGCATATTCAAAGGAAGGCATTATTCATTATGAACCTTCCGAAATCATGCAGGTTTTAGCAGTTACATGAGCTTACTGTGGCCTATTAGTGAAAAATTTTTTGACCACTCATTTGATCATAGAGTTATAAAAATTAGCGAGATAATGTGAATTGTTTACAATTAGGATGGGCTCATTCACTGATGGAATTTCATTGGAAATTTTGCGAATTGTTGCACAGTTCAATCTTATTGCTACACTTATGCACGTGAGGACTTGTAATATTTGTGAATTCTGAAAAGACTTCATTGTCTTTCGCTGTTCATTTCAGTTAGTGGAACAATAATGAAGGTTATGATAATACTTCTCGTTTGCGCACTATTTTTGCAGTCAGCACGTGCAGTTGAGGATTTGAATCGTGTGGACCGAATACAGTGAGTTATTATCAGTCCAATTCGTTCGTCACGCAAAAATTGTTTGTGAAAAATCTGCGCCATTGAATGAGCAAAAAGTTTTCCTATACAACCTATTTAGTCGAAACCAACTGTTCTCTTTTTTGAACCGAAAAATCCACTGTCATGAAACTGCTACCTAAACAATTTCAGAACTCGAATGAAACGCTGGGGGCGCTTCGGAGGCTCTGGATTTCGACGATTCGGGCGTGGTGGGTTCTTTGGTCGTCGCTTCGGAGGCTTCGGATTTGGACGATTCGGGCGTGGTGGGTTCTCTGGCCGTCGCTTCGGTGGCCCATTCTTCGGTCGGCGGGGTCGTGGTTTCGGTGGCGGATGGTGACGTTGATTAGGACAAATGTGATTGCCAGCAACTAAAATAAGGATGTCAGCAACTCACTTGTCACCCAATCCCAGACGCGATTATTGCTTTTTCTTTTTCCTTACCAGTTACTTATTATTCATATTATTGATCATTGTACTATTTCTCGCGATTTCTATGGTCATTCATTCAATATACCAATTTTGATATAATCATCGCCTTAGGCTCTTCTCATTGATGCAGTGCAGCGTTACTGGTTACTATCAATCAATTTATTAAGATTAAGTTAAATTTAACGATATGACCTTGACAGTGAATTGTACCATACTATGTGTTGTATATAAGCATAATAATGTTGAAAATAAATACATTTATATCAAGCTGGAAGGTGTCTCTCGGAAGCGAGACATTACAAATCGTTAAGATGCGGACAATATCTCAGGGCATGGAAATGGCACATGTGATCATGAAAATATCTTTTCTTACGCCAGACTATTCTGTCTTGTCGAGACAACCTCGCAGTGATGTTGCAGTCCATCTCTATAGACCGCATTTTGCACTTAATTTTTTAAGAGTCACACGACCTAATAAGATGTGCCGGAATGGTAATGGTGCACTAGAAACAAACATTTGAATGAATATTCAATTTCGAACCATTCATAATCTTCAAACTGTCGCAGTTCTCAGATCTGCTCAGTAACATGGTTTTTTCTTCATGCTATTGGATTTCCTAGATTCTCTAGTTTCATAATTGCATGTATGTTGTCGGACGATTTCGCTTACACTAAAAGAAATAGTCGATTTTCTGAAGGTATCTCACTTGCTCGGCAGCGCTCATTCAAATACACTGTATCTCTGTTGATCAAACTGTCCACCGTTTTAACTATGCATTACATTTTCTTACCCGAAACTTTCCAGTGCTCCGGAGTCTATGCAGATCCCTTCGTTGGATTCCTGCAAATATAATGTAATAAATAATCACTCTCACAAGAGCTCTTGCATTAAATTGGTCTTGCAGTGATTAGAGGATAGATACACGTTGCTTGCATTAAACAATTGGTCAGATGACAGCGCGTCAACAAAGGAGTAACGCTCACCCAACATAAAGTCAAGCCCACCGAAAATTGATCCACTAGAGCTGCTAGAAAAATTGTTTATGCCATTGAAAACAAAAACGGATTTGTTTTGTGACCTTGTTGGGCGAACTCCTCCAAAAATATGATTCTCTGTCAACGGTTTATGGCACAATTCTAAGTTATTTACCAGTTAATTCCTAGTCATCAACATAATTAATGTGGTGTGATTCACTTGCTGCTTGTTGGATGACAGAAATGCACTTGAGTGATTAATGATTGAACAGAAACCGATTAGTTGCAAACATTTTTTCACCCTCCCAAAATAACCAAAGGAATTTGGCGAGGACAGTAATCGAACAAAATTCTGAATTTACGCATGGTGAAAGAGAGTTCATATAAAAGTGCTTAATAATGTAGTTTTACCGCCCATACAATTCAGTTGCGGTTTACAAGTACAATGCTTGTTTCCTTTGCTGTGAATTCTTCACGAAAATGTTTTCTCATAAGATGGTTTATTCTATCCCATCCAGAACAAACCCATAGTGATCTTGTCATTCTTACCGTCGGCAAGTATTTTTTGAAGGTTAGGAGAGCCGAATTTGTGCAGGTCACCACCTATGGTTGAATGTTACATTTTGATATGCGCACATTCAAAGGAAGACATTGCTGACCGTGTGTATCCCGAAATCATGCAGCTCCAGCAGTAACATGAGTTTATTGGGGACTGCTAAAAACTTTTTATCACTCATGTGATCAGGAAATAACCAAGATTGCTAGAGGACGGTGAGAATTAGGGGCTAATCCCATAAGCCACAGCTTGTTCACTGATGGAATTTCATTGGAAATTTTGCGAATTGTTGCACAGTTCAATCTTATTGCTACACTTATGCACGTGAGGATTTGTAATATTTGTGAATTCTGAAAAGACTTCATTGTCTTTCGCTGTTCATTTCAGTTAGTGGAACAATAATGAAGGTTATGATAATACTTCTCGTTTGCGCACTATTTTTGCAGTCAGCACGTGCAGTTGAGGATTTGAATCGTGTGGACCGAATACAGTGAGTTATTATCAGTCCAATTCGTTCGTCACGCAAAAATTGTTTGTGAAAAACCTGCGCAAATCTGCTTGAGATTAGAACACATGGTATCGGTTGATAGATTGTTCATAAAGAGGCTAGGCGAAACAAGTGAAAATGCATTTGCAAAATTCCAAATTCGTTGAATATCATTTCAAATTTTCTCGATGTCAGCAAAATTTACACCCAAAGTTGTCCATCACCGTAACTTCTGTCGTCAAATCTTGACAAATACGATGAAATTGTTTTCTGCGAGAGGATACATTCCCATTTGTTATTAAATAAGCAAAAGATTGTCTTACATGACCTGCTCAATCAAAACTAACTGTTCTGCTTTTTGAACAGAAATTACAAAAAAAACTGTTACGTAAGCATCACGAAACTGCTATCTAAACAATTTCAGAATTCGAGCTAAACGTTACGGCTGTTGTGGTTGCTGTGGTTGCTGTGGTGGTTGGGGCGGTGGTTGGGGTGGTGGTGGTTGGGGTGGTGGTTGGCGTCCCGGTTGGGGTGGTGGTTGGGGTGGCGGTGGGCGTCCTGGTTGGGGTGGTGGTTGGCGCCGACCATGGGGCCGTTGAATGGGTCAAGCAGGGTCGCTCTCCAACGAAACTGGATTTTGGTCACTCATCTTTCGCCCAATCTCAGGCGGTGTTATTGTTTTTAGCTTTTCCCTACTAATCACTCTCTCATCATGTATATATTATTAATCATTCTATTACTTCTCATGATTTCAACGGTTCATCATAACAGTTTTGTTTTATTCATCATATGCGCTCTAATGATTGATCAAATGCAACGTTACTGTATCACTATTGATCGGTTTATTGAGAGTCCGATTGCAGCGTAAAGTTTAACGACTAAAGGTGGCAATACCGTACTATGTGTTGAATATAAGAATAATAATGCTTAATAATGCTGGAAAATAAATGCATTGTACATTTGTGTGAGGTCAAAAGCCATCTGTCAGAAGAGACATTATAAATGATTACGATGCTGACTACATCTCAGGGTGTGGAATTCACACATGTGATCCCCATACGCAACAGTTCTGCAATCGTTGAGATCAAGCTGTGATTTATACAGGCGGCTGTATCTCGAGAATCATCTAACAACACAAACGATTTCAACTCGAAATCATGCACTAAAATATGGAAAACATCAATCAATGGTAATGATGCAGAAAAGATTAGAGCGTAATGATAACCTGAACATAGTATATGTGACAGTCATACTTTATAAGATTGCAGTAATTCAATCCACGGTATGATAGCTGACATCATTATCGCAATCTGGTTCGGTAAGAACGGATAGAAACATGACATCAAAGGTAGAACCGGCATTCAGTAATCAGTGATCAAATGCAAAATGACGTATATCATTTTTTAACCTCGAACATAAATCAAAGAAAGTTGACATGATTGGACTGGACATTCAGTGAAGCTGGTGAACGTCGGACGTTCGATATTTTCATGAATTCGAGGCGACTTTCAAGACTCTCTCAATTGTGCTTTGTGATATTCGGGCAACGATCGTGGGTTTTCGAGCAGAGAGTCGCATTCTCGTCGAAGGATAAAAATATTTGTCTTTTGATTGATGCGCATCTGAACGACCATGAACTAAATGTTATTCGGCGAACGGATTCAGTTTGTGTTGTGAAGAGTTCATATAAAAGTGCTCAGAAGTGCAATTCACTCCACACAGTTTAAAACCTTGGTTTGAATAGTTCAACAGACATCCTGAAGGATGTGCTCGTGCATTTGCTTGTCTCGCATTTCCTTGTTTCACCGATTGATCTTATTATTACATTTGAACACTTGATCAGTCTTAATGTTTTCTTAAGGTCTGACAAACCGACGTTGCTGCTCATTTTATTTATTCGTAAAACAATGAGGATTCTGGTAGTACTTCTCATTTGCGTGCTGTTGTTGAATTCAGCATTTGCAGTGGAACCATGCGAAAATTTGGATGAAACATCTCAAGTGCGGTGAGTTAATCGGATCAATTTGGTCAACGAAAGAGCTGTTTTCTTTGCAAGCAATCTTTAACACATTGAACGAACTGCTAGGTGCACATAAAGGCGAAATAGAACGAGCAAAGGGCTTTTCTGAAATTCCAACTTCGTCGAAACCGACTTCAAATTTTCTGGATGTTAGGAAGCTTCGCTGCGCATAAGGTTATCCGTCAACGACACTGTTACAATGCATGGTCGAGATTTGCAATAAAATTGTTTCCAACGAAGAGATTCAACCTCGCATATTATCGAGCGAACGGAAGAATTTCCTAAATGATTAGTTTATTCAGAAGCTAATGCTGCCTCTTTTCAAAGCACATACCCATCATCAAGAATCTGAATCCTGACCAAATTTCAGAACGCGATGGAAACGCCAATGGGGTTGCCGATATTCACCATTCATGCGTGGCCCGTACTATGGTGGTTGGGGTGGCGGATGGGGTGGTGGATGGGGTGGTAGATGGGGCCGCTGAATGTCCAAATATGATTGCTGACCAATGAACTCGGACATTAATCGCTCATCGTTGAATTGTTGCTATTAGTTTATTCTTACATAACACTACTTGATCTTACCTATATTATTGATCACGTTATTTTTCGATATAGCCACCGTCATATGATTGCTTCAGCTCGTAATTATTGTGTCAATATAAAAACTTAACGCTGCGAACATGAACTGCATTGTATCGTATTGTGTATGAGCAATAATGTCTGATGACACTGGAATATTGATAAATATATTTGTTTATTGATGTAAAGTACAGTTGGTGTTTGCCTCTTTGAGGAGATTGATGTACTGGGCCGGGATACCTTGTTTGTG